GGTAATACATTTTAATGTTTTTTAGAGGGTCTCTCTCTATAAGTCTATATATTATATAACTAAACTATTGTTGTATGTAAAGTAAACAAGGTTTTTAAAATATTTAAGAAGCTTCATTTAAAATAAAATTAAAATGCTGATCTTACGCCACCAGCCTGCTCAGCTCGCTGCCAGCCTGGCATTCTGTTCATCCAGGCCGGCAGTGGGCTGAGTGTGGCCTGACCTCTGAAGCCCCCCACACCCCCAGAAGGGTGGGTGTGGGGGGCTTCAGAGGGCTGGGGGTGTGTGGAGGTGCAGGGCAGAAGGCTGGTGGTGTGGGGGGCTTCAGAGGTCAGGGCAGAGGGCTGGGGGTGTGTGAAGGTGCAGGGCAGAAGCTGGTGGTGCAGGGGGCTTCAGAGGTCAGGGCAGAGGGCTGGGGGTGTGTGGAGGTGCAGGGCAGAGGGCTGGGGGTGTGGGGGCTTCAGAGGTCAGGACAGAGGGCTGGAGGGGTGCAGGGCAGAAGGCTGGGGATGTGGTGACCAAACAGATGATCACAGTTACTTGGCCTGTGATACTCAATGAGCAAGATATTACTAACAATTATAAGTAAGGGAGTTTTAAGGTTGAATGAAACACTTAAGAGCAAATATTAAGAACTAGGAATGCTTCCCATTTCTGATATTCTAAATCTTAAACTCTGAGAAAAAATTGCTCCTTCACAACTCTATCGTTTCAGATGAAGAGGTCACAACTCAATTCCCCAACACAGGTAGAATTAATAAACAGATAAACAACCATATTCTTCAATTCCTGCAGTTTGGACTTGTACATTTCTAGACTCTTCAGAGAGCAGAGAATCAGCATTTTGTTTAAGTTATGTAATGTTAGAATTACATACATGAATGAATCCAGCATATTTTTTGTCTATTTCCACCAGTTGCTGGTCAGCTTTGTTCCGCATAGAGGGCTCTGGATCTGTGCCCATAGCAATTAAATATGGCACACACTAGAAAAGAAATAGATGAAAATATACAAAGGCATTATACACCAAAAATGTATGTGTCTATGTGCACTGCTGTATGCATATATTTATCTCACATTATTATTTATGTTAAATTGTTAATAGTTGAACAACTAGAATACGACATCTTATGCGACTTACAGCTTAATGGCTTCTTTTAGGCAAGAGCACAAGTTATAAAGAGGGGAGATGATCCAAGGACACAAGCATATTAAAAAATGAAAATTTATGCCAGAACACAGGTGGTATTCCCAATATCTCTCTTCCACTGGGCCACACTCTAGGACCCCATACTAGAAAAATGAGGTGTTTTTCTCAATTTGTTGATCTATTTTAAACACCACTTAGCACTTATATTGACAAAGGCAGTAGTGTTTCAAAACATGTTAACAGTTCATGGTCAATCCTAGGATCCTTGGTCCAGGAGACTCTAGGGTTGACACAACTCGCTAACATGTTTTGAAATATCAATGTCTGTCTACACCAGTTGCTGACAACAGAGTTAAAAGTGGTGTTTAAAAAGTTAGAAAACACATTTGCTGAGCACACATTCAATTTCTGAGACTAGATAGGGCCTAGTAATTTGCCTCATGGCAAGCCTGAAACTTGGAAGCTATTAATATATTTAAAATATATGGATCTCAAATAAATTTGTTACAGAATTTGGACTGGGAATTATCCAGTTGAGACTTGAGATATTTCCTCAATATTTACCCAGAATTCTTCCAAAACAGAAAGAAGGATAAAAAAGAATATGTAGGAGATTATGGATACAGGTAAGTAAATTAGTCTTCCCTTGTTAGCCACACCTCTATAGATTTTCACTGTAATAGATAAAAAACACTATCTAGCTAAGATTCACAGGTGAAGAAAATTACTTGAAAATAAACTACAGATAGCCCTAACATTGGCTCGGAACTTCAATCCAATGTAGTGTTTTGTGGGGAAAGATGCTGGCAAAAGAATCTAATGAGTAGAATCTAAAGAAGACAGACCATGGATGTAAGTATGCCTGAACACTAACTGGGGTCTGATATCATATAATAGAAACCAGAGCATGCCATCATGCATTTAATAAGTGCTGCTTAAAAATTATTAAACTCAAATTTAATTTCTAAGCCAACAAAGGGTTAGTCTTTGGAATCCTGTTGGCCTTTTAATACAGAAGAATTCTAGACATCTGCTGTATGTAAAACAGCCTCTCCAAACTAAGTATCCCCAAAAGAAGCAACTAATGTAACAGATTTGGGGGGCTGGGGCGGACAACACACACACATACTGGACATTTATCTAGCAGCCATGAGAAATTGAGATTCTCTGTGTAAAAGAAAAAATAAATACAGCACATTAACATTACATACCTGAACTGGATGGATAAGACCCTGGTTTAATGTCAGTGCAATGACATTTAGAGCAAAGTGGCGTACGCTGGACTGTGCATGAAAGAAAGCCTCAAGAACCTGTTTGAGATAAAGTTGCATGATGGAGCTGCTCATCCCTGAGGAAATATCACCCATTTCTTTCAGATCCTCCTGTTTTGCTACTTTCTTCCCTGTAGAAAGGAACAAAAGCAACTGTTTGTGTCAAGATCTTCGGGCAACCGCTAACTTATTCTACTCTACATACTATTCCTCATATTCTTTATAACATATTTAAGCTTCAGAGTGGTACCATACCACAGCCCTGAAGATTTCTTGTTTTAGAATGCCTGAAAATTAACAATTTCAGAGAAGAATTTGATAATAGAAAAAGCAAAGCACTCATTATTTTAACTACAAGAATTTAAGTATTGCACATTTTGGATTTTTTCCCAGCAACTTAAAACTTGACGTTAAGAACAGAACTCTGTACTCTATACCTCTCAGTGTGACTGTGTATAAAAGATGTTCCTGAATTCTTTATCTAAGGTAATGTATGTATACATGAATAATTAGACCCCAAAAACCCTTATGAATCAGTTAAATTAAAAGGTTGTTTTCATGTAACAAAAGTTACATTTTGAATGCTTCCTTAATACAGTGCTCATCACTCACACTCTCTATCTGCCTGCTGCATACGCGTATCCTCCTCCTGTAGATAGGTTTGGAGATTTTTTAACACCTGGATTTTTAAGTTTACTGAGCTGTTCTTATCAGAGAGAATGCTGTTGTACAGAGTCTTCACCTCCTGCTCAAACATTAGACTTGGGTGTTGAATAAATGCAAATCCTGAAAGAAAAAAATAAGAAAGATCCCACTTGGTTGCCTTGCAATTACTGTGCTTACATTTTTCAAGGTAACTAGTAAAATCTTCCATCATACATATATGAAATAAAATTCAAAGAATCACTCAAAAACTGGAAACACAATAGAAGAATGTTGGAGAATCAGGATTTCTTGATTCTATTCCAGGCTCTGAAGGGGAGTGTGATCTAGTGCTTACACAGTCAAATACACAGCACATTAATTCTCAAAGGCAGCATGGCTAAATTAATTTTATTCTCAGCTCTGCTAGAAGTGACCTCATGCAATCAATCTCTCATTTATAACATGGGAAAATTATACATGTCCCTCCTATAATAGAGGTCTACGGTCTTGCTCAAACATACATCAGTGGGAACAGTGAGACTCAGACATATACAGACTCTAAAACCCTTTCTTAAAAACTATTATGAAGGAAAAGAACTATTTGTTTTCCTTCCCCCTGCCCAAAATGTGAAGAACTGGTCTCTTTTACTCAGTTGTGTGGGGGTTTTTTGTCTTCTCCCCGTCACCCTTCACCGTCCTCCCCAATTTTAATCCAGAATGATGGACATCATCTGAGATAACATAAGTGGGTATGGAGTACTGCTGATTTATAGCCTCACACAGCACCACAAGTGGCAGGGATGCAGCTTTCCTTTGAGAAGACTGGGAAATCTGCCATGTATTAGACCATTACTTTGTTTATTTGTCCTAACTCTTGTTGGTCTGTGCTTTGCAGGAGTGGCAGATGTTGAACATTCCTTTACTTCTTTCTGGCCACAGGTGGTAAAGATCTTTAATGACAGAGGATGTGGAAAAAGCTAATGTAATCAATGATTTTTCTGCCTCTGTCTTAATGAACAAGGTCAGCTCCCAGACTGCTGCACTGGGCAGCACAGTATGGGGAGAAGGTGACCAGCCCTCGTTGGAGAAAGAAGTGGTTCGGGACTATTTAGAAAAACTGGACGAGCACAAGTCCATGGGGCCGGATGCGCTGCATCCAAGGGTGCTAAAGGAGTTGGCTGATGTGATTGCAGAGCCACTGGCCATTATCTTTGAAAACTCATGGCGATCAGGGAGGTCCCGGATGACTGGAAAAAGGCTAATGTAGTGCCCATCTTTAAAAAAGGGAAGGAGGAGGATCTGGAGAACTACAGGCCAGTCAGCCTCAACTCAGTCCCTGGAAAAATCATGGAGCAGGTCCTCAAGGAATCAATTCTGAAGCACTTAGAGGAGAGGAAAGTGATCAGGAACAGTCAGCTTGGATTCACCACGGGCAAGTCATGCCTGACTAACCTAATTGCCTTCTATGAGGAGATAACTGGCTCTGTGGATGAGGGGAAAGCTGTGGATGTGTTATTCCTTGACTTTAGCAAAGCTTTTGATACAGTCTCCCACAGTATTCTTGGCAGCAAGTTAAAGAAGTATGGGCTGGATGAATTGACTATAAGGTGAATAGAAAGCTGGCGAGATCGTCGGGCTCAACGGGTAGTGATCAACAGCTCCATGTCTAGTTGGCAGCCGGTATCAAGCGGAGTGCCCCAAGGGTCGGTCCTGGGGCCGGTTTTGTTCAGTATCTTCATTAATGATCTGGAGGATGGCGTGGACTGCACTCTCAGCAAGTTTGCAGATGATACTAAACTGGGAGGAGTGGTAGATACACTGGAGGGTAGGGATAGGATACAGAGGGACCTAGATAAATTAGAGGATTGGGCCAAAAGAAACCTGATGAGGTTCAACAAGGACAAGTGCAGAGTCCTGCACTTAGGACGGAAGAATCCCATTCACTGTTACAGACTAGGGACCGAGTGGCTAGGAAGCAGTTCTGCAGAAAAGGACGTAGGCGTTACAGTGGACAAGAAGCTGGATATGAGTCAACAGTGTGCCCTTGTTGCCAAGAAGGCTAACGCATTTTGGGCTGTATAAGTAGGGGCATTGACGGCAGATCGAGGGACATGATCATTCCCCTCTATTTGACATTGGTGAGACCTCATGTGTCCAGTTTTAGGCCCCACACTACAAGGAGGACGTGGAAAAATTGGAAAGAGTCCAAACGGAGGGCAACAAAAATGATTAGGGGGCGGGAGCACATGACTTATGAGGAGAGGCTGAGGGAACTGGGATTGTTTAGTCTGCAGAAGAGAAGAATGAGGGGGGATTTGATAGCTGCTTTCAACTACCTAAAAGGGGGTTCCAAAGAGGATGGATCTAGACTGTTCTCAGTGGTACCTGATGATAGAACAAGGAGTAATGGTCTCAAGTTGCAGCGAGGGAGGTTTAGGTTGGATATTAGGAAAAACTTTTTCACTAGGAGGGTGGTGAAGCACTGGAATGGGTTCCCTAGGGAGGTGGTGGAATCTCCTTCCTTAGAGGTTTTTAAGGTCAGGCTTGACAAAGCCCTGGCTAGGATGATTTAGTTGGGAATTGGTCCTGCTTTGAGCAGGGGGTAGGACTAGATGACCTCCTGAGGTCCGTTCCAACCCTGATATTTTATGATTCTAATGAGTAAAAACAACAAAGTGCAAAAGAAAAAAAGAAAATAAAAGGAAAAGGAAATAATGGAAGAAGAAAAGAATATACACCTCTACTCCTATATAATGCGACCTGATATAACACGAATTCGGTTATAACGCGGTAAAGCAGCGCTCGGGGGACGCTGGGCTGTGCACTCCGGCAGATCAAAGCAAGTTCGATATAACACGGTTTAATCTATAACGCAGTAAGATTTTTTTGGCTCCCGAGGACAGTGTTATATCGGGGTAGAGGTGTATCTGGAAAAACCCAGCATGAAACAGTGGAGGGGGCTGATTGGCTGAAGCCAAGGGAATCAAGGTTCTATAAAGTTGGTCTCTTGCACCTAGAAAAGTTAGTGCAGGAAAAGACTTAGCTCAAGAAAGAGCTCAGTTCATCTAATGGGTGGGAAAAAAGGAAAGCGAAAGAGGTAAGGATGGTCTTTGGTAGGGATAATTATTATCTGCATGAATGTGCACTGAAGTTTTGTTACCTGATCTTTTCTAAGCTAATCTGATTACTTTTTAAAAGGGATTTTAAATTTAAAGAAGTATTTTTGATATATAACTCTTTCCTCCACTCACTGATTTAAACGAGTCTACAACCCACAATTCCCTCGGAAAATTCTTCTTATCTTCCCTAATAAGTTTTCCTTTCTGCTTACTAATCCAAATGTTTCAGATGGGAGAGAGGGAAAATTTGCTATCTGACTATTTTCTTTTAAGAATTACCTCACCTTTGGTCTGCCTCCACCTGAAAATAAATTATTTGGGTGTCTTTAAGATTAACACAGCTCTTTATAAAGTAGTACTCCTAAGAGGTTATGTTTGGTCGGCTAGTAAGGATTTAATATTTCCATACTTCTATGGAAGTACACATCTGGAGCAGAAAGAGTGTGGCCAAGCCTCAGACTCTTGTAGGCAAGTCAAAACTTGCAAGAAGTGGCAAACTTCTCGCTGGCCATTATCCAGAAAGGAACTGTCAGAGCCTATGTATGTTAATGCCTATTGACATCTAAGGGGACAATCCTCAGCTGTTGTAAACTGTCTTAACTCCATTGACTTCAGCTGAGGATCGACCCATGATTGCATCACCTAAGACTTTCCCAGATGTTTTTGGCTTGCTAATAATCTTTTGAACCTCATGCCTTTTGGGTGTGAAACTCAAGAAGTAGCAGATTATAAACTCCTTTCATTTTGAAAAATGATGGTACCATTAGTTTAGAAATCTGATACTCTTGAAGATTGTAAAGAATTATACACACACACACCCCCACCAAGAAGGCATACACTGTCAAAATGTATTTTTCACAGGAAAGAGAAAAGAGCCCCTTTTTGACCAATTTGCAACAGACTATGTTCAAATAGCTTCAGACATGCAGGGAAGTATATTTAAGGTCTCTATGAACAAAAACATTAAAATTCAGAAAGCAACCAAAATTTGCAGATAATATTAGTTAGGTACATATCCCTTAAAAAAAGATGCCAAAGCTTTTTAAATGAACCAACTTCTTGTAAAAAAAACCCCAACAAACTAAACATACTATCCCCTGAGAAACACAGTTATTGATTCAATTAAAAACAAAAAACCTTGGTAATTCTTACCTAAACCAATAATGGCTTTTGTTTGTACCTCTTCATCTGAATGTTTTGTAAAATACATCAGCAGTTCAAGTACTTTATCCTTAATGTTAACCTGGCCAAATTAAACAAAAAATATTGGTGACTTAAAAACCTAATTGCAAAGCGAAACACACATCACTGACACCAGAGCTTTCCCAAAATAAAACAAATTGTTGCAAATTACAAGTACAGTCTAGTTTCACTGTGAAGACTTTACTTCACTGTTTCAAATTACCAAACCTATTCTGTTCTATTTACAAGTTACATTTTTTAACTTTACCTTTTTAAACACAAGACACTGAGAAAGTAAACACAGTGTATTTTACCTTACTGTTGCCTTTAAAATCTTCCTGATCAAAATCAAAATGGCGACACAATGCTCCAACAGTGAAAAGAGATCTAAGGAGTGCTGGTTTATTGGCTGTAAGTATAGTACTGTTTGGGTCTTCTTGGTGTTGACTTTTTAATTTTGAAAGTGCACCTAAAATAAGAGAAAAGATTTAATCATAGCAAATACTGCACTCCTGAAATGACAAGCATAACCAAAACTTTTATAAAATTGTTTAATAATATATGCTCTGATATTTAACTTACCATAGTATCTATTAAAACAGGCCCATACAAATTTATAATTTTGAGTAACCTTGTTTACAACAGCCCCAAGACAGCTCACACAGTGCTGTACTACCTGAAAATAAGACAGAAAATATTTATAACATTTTATTTAGAAGTCAAGATAGAGATTTTTCAAAGCAGTCTAGAGATATAAAAACATATTATTCATTTAAAACTAATGGAAGATTAAAGGTCTAAATCTTCAAGACTATTTTGAAAATCTCAGACCAAGTACAAATAACTAAAGTGTAATAAGAAATACACAAACTCCGGTAGATCAAGAAAGTTCACAGGGATAGCCAGTTTTTCATAACTGCCATTCAAACATGAATAGGGAAGAAATGTTCATGCGTTCATCTTAAATAATTTCTACATACTCCATATCAAACTGAACCAAAAACATTAAATTCGTATAAAAAATAGAAATTAAATCTTACCGTCATGCCATATTTGATTATAAGTTTCATGAGATCTTCCTCAATAGTGGCAAGGAACGTCTCACTCGGATGCTCCATCAATGGCACCACCAGCTCTAAGATTTTTGCAACATTGCAGATCACCATGAAATCATTTTGTGTCTGTAATTACATTTACAATGATTAAACATTTTCACCATTTTCCCTATATAAGAGCTAAGTATTTCTAATTTTATTTCAGGTTTGAGAATAACTTAATATATCTCAGTTTTTCAGTAAAAGTATACACTGATATTCAAAGATCTAACTTTTCTCTGAAGTATGTTTTAGGTATGCTGTAGTACTTCCCAGTAGAAAAAGTTTGGCTAAGGGTTTAAAGACAACAATTTAAATTTGTTACCATGTTCAAAAGTATTGCTATGCTATGATCATCAAATTTGAACTGTTGTCTTTAATTACTAATTCAATACTTTTTCACTAGGAAATAAGTGAGTCCAGGTGAAATAATTGTTCTGTAAAGATAAAAGTTATTGATGTGAAAGGTAAGTTTTATTTTATGGTTAAAATAGTCTTAATATTGTCTTTGGTAATTATTTTGCAATTAATTATTACAAAACATTTCATGATATATCTTAAGCATAACAGGAATGCTGCCGCTTAATTTTAATTCTACACATAGGAGGAAATACAGAGTAACTAGGTTTTCTGAATTTAAATATTTGATAACCTATCATGAAAAAGGTACATACCTATATACCTTAATACATAGGTACACATAGTTTAATAAAATGTAACATTTTGATAACTGACATGGATTTAATATAGTTGCAATGGATAATATTCACCCCCAGACTCAGGGTCCATATAAATCCCTCTGTATCACTTAAGATCTCTAGAATGGCTGCCTGGGGTGGGGAGGAAGGGGCTCTGGACCCTCTTTATGTTGCAAAGAGGTTCTCCCTTCCAGCCACTTATAGGATGGTATGGGAAGAGTAAAAATCTAGGGGGACTGCAGGGGAAGTTCTCAAAAGAGAAAGAGAAAGAACAAGTGGGAGGATTTGGTTTTAAGAGAGAAGAGTAGGTGAAATAAAAAACGTTATTTAAAGCTACTCAGCAAAGTATTAACTCGCTTCTTATTGTTTTCTCTGTTTAAAAAGTTCCATAGATTTTCAAAAAGTAGTCAGCAGAAACTTTAGTTAGCAGGGACTTTAAAAGGACAAACAAAGAAGCTTGCATTATATACAATGAAGGAGGAGGAACCTGAACAGGGACTCCAGGAGAAGGTAACATGGTCAGCATGATAGGCTAGGAATGCAACCTAATTTATTTCAGCACTGAAAAGAGAAGAAATTTGGGGTTGACTGTACCAAGATACTCAAAAATGATACATCAGAACTGATGCTACTTCATCTTGACGCTTGGGAGTATTCCACACAGGCCGAGTAGGACTTCGGATTCTGACTATTGCTTTGGAGCCCTAGAATGAATCTTTGAACTCTTCTGGCTTGTCTTCCCTAGAGCAGTGGTTCTCAACCAGGTGTATGTGTACCCCTGGGGGTACACAGAGGTCTTCCAGAGGGTACATCAACTCATCTAGATATTTGCCACGCTTTACAACAGTCTACATAAAAAGCACCGGAGACAATTACTTGTTTTATACTGCTCTATATACTACACACTGTAATGTAAGTACAATATTTATATTCCAATTGATTTATTTTATAATTATATGATAAAAATGAGAAAGTAAACAATTTTTCAGTAATAGTGTGCTGTGACACTTCTGTATTTTTATGTCTGATTTTGTAAGCAAGTAATTTTTAAGTGAGGTGAAACTTGGGGGTCCACAAGACCAATCAGACTCCTGAAAGCGGTACATACAGTAGTCTGGAAAGGTTGAGAGCCACTGCCCTAGTGAATGACCCATTGCTGATACCAGGTACTAGCAACAGGTGAAGATGAACTGGAGCTGAATGTGATTTAACTACAAGCATAGACAGACAGTGTTTAGGACATTTCAGAAACCATGATTTAAAAAACCTGATCTGAAGAAAGATTACTAGCTAGTGGGCCTAAAAGTAGTACACCTGCCATAGGTGAGGAATGTAGAGAAGAAATTCTCACAGCAAGTATTAATTGCCAGTTTACTTCATATGCACTAAAGTCTTTTGTTAACCCTTTGACACTAGAAGTTACAATTTCCCAATGTGCATCCTATTAATCACAATGGGATATGCTAGAATTACCAGCTAAATGATTTTAGGATTCACCTCAAGCTGCATAACTGAAGCTTGTGTAGTCCACTGAGTAGATGTTGCAGCATTTAAATCCCCTCCACCCCACTCAGGACAGCTCAATATACTATTCAATCAGAAGAGACTACATCTCATCGTACAACACCAAAAGTACTTTGTAGATACTGCTAGATGACAGGCTTACTATCATGATGTCCTCCATCCACAGGCACGTGAATGGGGAAGAGACCTTAATTAACGATTAAGAGGACAACAGGATTTCTCAGATCAAAAGACCAGAAGTGAAATTCTGATGTCAGTGACAGAACTACCATTTACTCCAAAAGGGGCCAGGAATTCACCCTAGTAGTTTACACAAAACCTTATACAAACAGCAACATTCACAATGGGTTCCTTGCCAACTTGCTAGCATAAGCAGCAATGTAAATGTAAAGCAAAGAAAGGGAATGGAGTTTACATATGAAAAACTGACAAAATTGGGATTTTTAGTTTTGAGGAAAAAAAGATGACTGAGGTGAAATGATTGAAACTAGCTAACGGTTACTATAATATTGAGCTTGATTATGTATTTGTGGTAATTGGAAACATCAAAAGCAGGATAAAAGGTTGAAATTAACAGGATAGATACATAAAATTGAATGGTGATCCAATATAGAGCAAATGGTGAATAAGTGGATTGAACTTTACAGGGGAATAGTTGCATTAAGTATTAATATGTTTATGCAAAATTGGATGACTATTTGAAATTTCATACCATACTGGCACATTGATAGTTTTCTGCTGAGGAGTGTACAAGACCAGGAAGTAAATATTATTGAAATAAAGGTTAAATACATTTAAAATATAACACTCTTCTACTTGTTTTCTTTTTTAGACCTTAATAAGTACGTTTTTAATTTTTAACAAAACCTTTGCAGTTCATCCTTTGAGAAGAAAGCAAGAAACCTTGAACGCAGACTTTTCTCTGCATCCAATACTTTGGAAAAAAACACTCCTATTAGAGATCTATGGATTACAAAAGGTTCTCTCATATCTTCAGGACTGAAAACAGCCATGTAATAGAAATATTGTTGCTGTTTTTTACACTCCCACCCTCAATTTCATCATGCATTTAAGATAACCCTTGAGTTCCATAATTATTTAGATGAAAGAAGACTTTAGTTTCCTATACTTACACTACATTTAGTGGTAAGGTATGGCTGCATGGTCATGGCATGTTTGACCATTAGCTGGGGCCTGATTTTGCTGAATAAGAACAAAGTGGTTATGCAAGCTACCAAGCGACCAGAATTCACACCCTTGTTGTCAGAGTCTGCAAAAATTAGAAAATACATTAAGTATATTCAATTCAAGGACAGTTCTGTCAATAACAAAACCGGATAGTAAATAAACACAGCATATAAAAATCACTTTCACTGATAATGTATCTTTGAAAAAATGGCATATAAATTCCTAATTAGATAAGAAAACTTGGATTAGCAGACAAAAATGTAAGCACATTATCAAGAAAATATGTAAAATAATAAGTAAAGCTCCTTTGAATTAATTTTTAAACCACTTATTTTTCCAGGCCACAGGCTCAGCCAATGATTCTGTAATGAATGTAAAACAGAATAATGCAAACAAAACTTGGACTCATAACAAAAACTTTCCTAATATGAAATAATTTGTTTTGTTTTTAGGTCATTGAGAAGTTTCCACAAAATGTAACTTGGTTAATGAGATTAGCTAGTGAACATGAGTGTTCCTTTGAGCATTTTTGGGAAAGTTGATGATTAATTTTGGAGGTTTTTGCTACTGGATTTGAACTTCAGTAGATTGTGAGGTCCCTTGTAAACTTTCTAATTTCTGTACTTTGTAATCCCTTTGCACTATATAAATAGCTGCTTTGCTTCTAACTATGTGGATTGATCAGAGGGGAGGAAGGCAGGAACTACTCCCAGTTCAGCCATCTTACAGAATCATAGGACTGGAAAGGAACTGGAGAGGTCATCTAGTCCAGTCCCCTGCACTCAAAGTAGGACTAAGTATTATCTAGACCCAGCCTAGATGTTTGTCCAACCTGCTCTTAAAAATTATGGAGATTCCACAACCTCCCTAGGCAACCTCCAATGATGGAGATTCCCTAGGCAATTTATTCCAGTGCTTAACCACCTCCCTTGCTGCAATTTAAGCCCATTGCTTCTTGTCATATCCTCAGAGGTTAAGCACAACAATTTTTCTCCCTCCTCCTTGTAACAACTGTTATGTCCTTACTCAGTCTTCTCTTTTGCAGACTAAACAAACCCAATTTTTTCAATCTTCCCTCATAGGTCACATTTTCTAGACCTTTAATCATTTTTGTTGCTCTTTTCTGGACTTTCTCCAGTTTGGCCACATCTTTCCTAAAATGTGGCGCCCAGAACTGGACACCATATTCCAGTTGAGGCTTAATCAGCACAGAGTAAAGTACAAGAATTACTTCTCATGTCTTGCCTACAACACTCCTGCTAATACATCCCAGAATGATTTTTATTTTTGCCACAATGTTACACTGTTGACTCTCATTTAGCTTGTGGTCCACTATGACCCCCAGATCCTTTTCCGCAGTACTCCTTCCTAGACAGTCATTTCCCATTTTGTATGTGTGCAACTGATTGTTCCTTCCTAAGTGGAGTACTTTGCATTTGTCCTTATTGAATTTCATCTTATTTACTTCAGACCATTTCTCCAGTTTGTCCAGATCATTTTGAATTAGAATCCTATCTTCCAAAGCACTTGCAACCCCTCCCAGCTTGGTATCGTCCGGAAACTTTATAAGTATACTCTCGAAGCCTTTACCTAAATCACCGACGAAGAGATTGAACAGAACCGGACCCCACTCGTTATGTCCTTCCACAATGCACCCACCTAATAGTAGCTCCATCTAGCTTGCATTTCCCTAGTATTTTTATGAGAAGGTCAGGCGAGACAGTATCAAAACCTTTACTAACGTCAAGATATACCATGTCTACCGCTTCCCCCATCCACAAGATTTGTTACCCTTTCAAAGAAAGCTATCAGGTTGGTTTGACATGATTTGTTCTTGACAAATCCATGCTGACTGTTACTTATTATCTTCTAGATGTTTGCATATTGATTGCTTAATTATTTGCGCCATTATCTTTCTGGGTACAGAAGTTAAGCTGATTGGTCTGTAATTCCCCAGGTTGTCCTTATTTCCCTTTTTATAGATTGGTACTATATTTGCCATTTTCCAGTCTTTTGGAATCTCTCCTGTCTTCCATGACTTTTCAAAGATAATTGCGAATGGCTCATATATCTCCTCAGTCAGCTCCTTGAGTATTCTAGGATGCATTTCATCAGGCCCTGGTGACTTGAAGAAATCTAACTTATCTAAGTAATTTTTAACTTGTTCTTTCCCTATTTTAGCCTCTGATCCTACCTCATTTTCGCTGGCATTTACTACGTTAGATGTCCAATCACCATCAAATCACCATCAACCTTCTTGGTGAAAACCGAAACAAAGAAGTCATTAAGCACCTCTGCCATTTCCACATGTTCTGTTATTGGTTCCCCCCCCCCCACACACCATTGACTACACTGTCCATGGTCTTCCTCTTGCTTCTAATATATTTGAAGAATGTTTTCTTGTTACCTTTTATGTCTCTAGCTAGTTTGATCTTGTTTTGCACCTTGACCTTTCTAATTTCTAATACATACTTGTGTTATTTGTTTATATTCATCTTTTGTAATTTGACCTAGTTTCCACTTTTTGTAGGACTCTTTTTTGATTTTTAGATCATTGAAGATCTCCTGGTTAAGCCAGGGTGGTCTCTTGCAATACTTCCTATCTTTCCTATGCAGTGGGATAGTTTGCTCTTGTGCCCTTAATAATATCTCTTTGAAAAACTGCCAACTGTCTTAAATTGTTTTTCCCATTAACTTGCTTCTCATGGGATCTTACCTTCCAACTCCCTGAGTTTGCTAAAGACTGCCTTTTTTAAATCCATTGTCTTTATTTTGCTGTTCTCCCTTCCACCATTCCTTTGAATCATGAACTCTACCATTTCATGATCACTTTCACCCAAGCTACCTTCCACTTTCAAATTCTCAACCAGTTCCTCCCTATTTGTCAAAATCAAATCTAGAACAGCCTCTTCCCTAGTAGCTTTCTCCACCTTCTGAAATAAAAAAATGTCTCCAATAAATTCCAAGAATTTGTTGGATAATCTGTGCCCTGCGGTGTTATTTTCCCAACGGATGTTTGAATAGTTAAAGTCCCCCTTCACCACCAAGTCCTGTGCTTTGGATGATTTTGTTAGTTGTTTAAAAAAAAACCTCATCCACCTCTTCTTCCTGGTTAGGTGGTCTGTGGTAGATCCCTATGATGACATTTATCATTACCCAGAGACTTTCAACAAGTCTGTCTCCTGTTTCCATCTCAACCTCAGTCCAAGTGTATACATTTTTAATATATAAGGCAACACCTCCTCCCTCCCCCCCACCTATCCTTCCTGAGCAAGCTGTACCATTCTATACCAATATTCCAGTCATGCGTATTATCCCATCAAGTCTCTGTGATGCCAACTATGTCATAGTTGTGTTTATTTACTAGCATTGCAAGCTCTTCCTGCTTATTCCCCATACTTCTCGAATTAGTTTACAGACATCTAAGATACTGATTTGATTTCTCCCCCAAGTTCTGTCTTGTGGAGCTGTACATAAAAACTTTCATTCAAGGCTCTCAAAGCACTTTGCAAACACTATGTCCGACAGTCTACTTGCGAGGTTTACCTTTCCTCACCAAGATAGCAACATCAAGATCTTCTGTATAGGAAAGGAAGGGGGAAGGTGGGTGGGTGGGTGACAGGAAAACTGGAAAAAATTTTGTGATTTATATGACATGCGTTCTAACCTAAACTTTGACACATACTATGTGACCTTGAGCAAACAGCTTAATCTCTCTGCCCCTATGTTTTCGCATCTGTTAAGTATAGATAATAAAACATACCTAATTAATAGGTTGTGACACTAAATTACTGTTTGTAATGTACAATGAGATTATTGGATCAAAGGCACTGTTATAAAAGGAAAGTATTATTACATTTGTATAATACAAAGCATCTGTCTCCCTTCCCTTCATAATCATAATAATTCCTTCATACAACATTTAGAATTATGCAAACCTTGCAGCCCTTTTCTATCTATCTTTTTACAGCTGTGAAAATCTTACCCCATACGCCTGATTCTGGTTTCCACTAAGGCTCTTTCATATTGCTTTGGCAGTGTAAGTGGCCCTTAAAGCAACCAAAGTAGTACAAACTTCCAGAATAGTGTACGGGGGTCTCAATGCAATGAGAATCTGGCCCTATATAGCCTTTGTGATTATGCTATGCATACTCTGCTGTGTAAACCACCGTGGATATAGTTTACGATGGATATAGTTTGGAAAACCAAAGCATTAATTGAATTAATTAACATATTAACTAGCTGTGGATTTTAAAGATGTACCTTTCTTATCTGGACAGGGTTGTGGGACACAGAGGCAGAGTTAAAATTACTTGTATAGCTTCTGGTTGCTGTATTTCCATATTTTCAATGTCTGTGAGGAAATGCTTTTAAGAACTATAAAGTTCTACTAAGGATTTCCCCCATCCCTTTAAGCTATTGATATGTATTTACAACCTTACATCCAGTTTAACCAAGTTTAGGAATGACTAGGAATAATAGTACTATTACTAATAACAAATATAGCGCTTTATATAATCAAAAACCTTTAGTAACATTATTCAACACTCAGAGAGATTAAGTAACATTAAAATCCCCATTTTAGATAAAAGGAAATGAAGTACAGGGAGATTATGTAACTTGTCCAAGATCACACAGCAAGTCAAAGTTGGGAATAGAACCCAAGAGGCACTAACTCAATCCAATAGACCAGGCTACCACTTAATGAGAGAGAAAACAACCTAAATGAAGTATGTGCAGCAACATCTACAGCTAGTCTGTAAATAATCCAAACATTCCCTATTACGCTAACAAAGCAAAGCTTCTTACTATTTCAAGTTGTATCAAAAGCTCGCCAGCTGGACTTGAATATACATATTAGGTAATTTTGTCACAAGCTATACCCTTCATGAAAAAATATAAGAAATGAAATTTATAATTTTAAAATACTTTTAAAGATAAAGCCTAGTATTTAAAGAGTATATCTACAATATATGTCCAACAGAAATGCACACAAAAATTACTTAACCTCTCTTTCACACAAAATGTGAAACTCAAAGTTACCATTTTTCCCAAATAGGAGTTATCTACTCAAAGATTTAGGAGCTCTAAATGGCCACAAGACCAAAGACATTTCTTAAAAATCAGGTATTCCGCTTGGTAAAAAGATGCTAAAAATGGATTTATCATCACAACCATGTGTGGATGAAAAAATAACCTGTGGTAATTTATACTGTCCTGTACATCACAGATTCAGAATCTAAGACCAGAAGGTACCTTTAGATCATCTAGTCTGACCTCTGGTATATCACAGGTAATTAAATTTCTCCCAATTATTCCTATAATGAGCCTAATAAATTGTGTTTCACTAAAATATATCTTCCAGAAAGGCATCCAGTCTTTGATTTGGAATCCAGTCTTGATCAGGAATTGGAGAAGCCACCTTTTCCCTTGATAGTTTGTTCAATCAGATAATCCTCCTTGCTATTAAAAAATTCTGCCTTATTTCTAATTTGAATTTATCCAGCTTAAACTTCCTGCCATGTCCTTGTTATGCCTTATAACAACATTCTATATTCACCAGTGTGATAGAACCAGAAAACAATAGCATCAGAACAATTTTAATGAAGGAACAAAAAAATTTTTTTCAAGCAGCATCCTTTTCAAGCGACAAGAGGAAGATTTATTGTAATAGTAGTTAAAAGTCAATTTAATCATAACAAAGGAAGCTTTAATTTAAATGTCTTGAGACAATCCTTGTCTTATCCACTACTGTCCTTTTTTAAACAGAACTATAGATTTTTACAAACAGTGTAGGATTTCATATATTTAATAACAAAAAATACATTAATACTATTGGATTGTAAGTAATTACATTACCTGCTAGAGATTCCTCATATTTAAGAATGTGCTCAACCAGATTATCAACAAGCTGAGTACAGGCTTTCTTCACAGGTTTATACGAGGCATCTTCTTCTGACTTCAGAAGCTATTGCAGACAGAAAGACAGGAGATGATTAAGATTTAATATAAATTGCAATACACTGAATCGTTCCAATAATTTGTACTTCAATGTATGTTACATTTGTAACAATTATCATAGAAGGAGGATTTCATGATGCATATAAAGTTATCCAAGTTCTTCCTAAGAAGCCCTGAAAAGCACTTTGTGGAGGCAAAAAAATAAACTATTTAACAAAATAAATATTACATTTGAATGGGGGATATCTACGACCAAAGCACTACAATTAAAAGAATTAAGGGGTAGGGCAGTAAGCATAGCTCATTCTTGAAGTTTAACAAGCGTAATAGTATCTACCTCAGTGATAAGACAATGTTCAAAATGTTAACAGAGTCATGTTCCATTGTCTTTGTCTTTTCTCACTCCCCATTACTCACTATTCACTTCCTGATGCCTGAATTGGCTTTCTGTTGTCCACATGCCTTGTGTGTGACTTGTAAAGGGGCTGTCCTGGTGCAATATTATAATCTGTTTGGATTTGTTTCTCCTTACACCTTTCGGTAGCGTAAGAACATAATGGCCATACTTGGTCAGACCAAAGGTCCATCTAGCCCAATATCCTGTCTTCCAACAGTGGTCAATGCCAGTTGCCCCAGAGGAAATGAACAGAACAGGTGATCATCAAGTGATCCTACCCCTGTTGCCCATTCCCAGCTTCTGGCAAAGAGAGGCTAGGGACACCATCCCTGCCCATCCTGGCTAATAGCCACTAATAGACCTATCCTCCATGAATTTATCTAGTTCTTTTTTGAACCCTGTTATAGTCTTGGCCTTCATAACATCCTCTGGCAAAGAGTTCAACAGATTGGCTGTGTGTTGTGTGAAGAAATACTTCCTTTTGTTTGTTTTAAACCTGCTGCCTATTAATTTCATTTCTTGTGTTAGGAGAAGGAATTAACTTCACTTCCTTAAATTTTAAGAATGAGACACTGTCTCATGGCCCTCATTAGTGATTACACCAACCACCTCCACTTGCATTCATAATCACATAACTGCTGCAGTTGCTACAGAGATGTTTTCTGTATGGAAAAAGTAATATTATGAAAGTATCAAGACCAAGATTTGGAAAAAATGGGCAGTCTAACTTTGGGCTCCAAGTTTATATTTCAGCACCTAAACAACTGGCCTGATTTTAAAAAATGTCAAATATTCAGCTCCCATTAGTGTCACTGAAGCGGAGAGGTGCTCAGCACTTTTGAAAATCAGTTCAATTATTCAGGCACCAAAATATGGACTTGGAGCTTAATTTTAGGCACCCATTTTTGAAAGTCTTGGTTTTAATGCAGATGAAAATACAGAGGAGAATGCAAAAACATGTGACCAGCCAGCTCTCTGGGGATTTCAGATGGTCCATGTATACTGCAGTAAGACCCCATGCAGTAACAGAAGAAATGTAGTCACTAGCTATCACTCTCAACAAATACAAAAAATAAAGGGAGTAGTTACAGGCTGGGATTTTCAAAGGGCCATAAGAAGTTAGACACCCAAATTCCACTGAAATTAAATGGGGACTGGGCACCCAACCTGCTTAGGTGACTTTGAAAAATCCCAGCCACTGTCTTGAAAATGGGCAAAAAAAGCTGACCCTAAGAACTAATAACTAGTCAGCTCAATATTGAGTAAATATAACAATAAATAAAGCCAGCATCTGGACAGGACAATGAAAAACGCTCTTGCTCGGGCAGTACCATCAGAAATGGACTGAACTGTTCTTCCTCTATACCCAATTCAGAGCATCTGCTCAAGGGTGCCCTAGAGGGGGAAAAGAGGTGAAGTCTCCCTTTCGAAATGGGTGGGTTCTATAGGTGGGTATGGGGCCAGGTTCTCCAACAGGGCCAGCAGAACAGATCCAACGGGTGCTGCAGAGGGCCCCATGATGTGGGAAACCAGTGGCTCCTCTGCTGTTGTGGAGGAGGGTAATGCCATGATGCCAGTGGTCTTTTGGGATACTCGTAGTGGTGGTAGGGAATCTGCAGCACTCGTGCTCCATCCGAATCCTCCGAGGATGCCGGTTCCAATGGCAGTACCACTGGAGCCGGTGGAAACATGTAAACCATAGGAAGATGTGTTGAAACATCTTGACTGTGGTATGTCCTGAGTGGGAGATCTGGCCTCCCTAAACGTGGATGGTAGTGGAAGGCCACTAGAGTACACAGTTCATGTGGCTCTGGTGCTTTCTCTAATCTTCCCGATGTTAATGATACTCATTCCATAGCCAGAACCGGTGCCCGAGTGGAGACTTTCCTGAAACTGATGAATCTGGTCTTAAGGGAGGCCGACGTTGACGGTGTGTGCAGCTTGGTATGTCATACTGGCGGATCTGCTGGTTTGTGAAGTTTTTTTGGTCATGCTTGTGCGTGTTCGAGCACACTGCCTCCCCGTGGCTGGAACTCTTGGAAGGCGCATCGCCATTCTTTGGTTTGGAGGAAGACTTACTGCCATGCTTATGTGCATGCTTCCTTACCTCCCAACTAGGCCCTGGCATGGGGTCCCTAGTGGCAGTACCACCGGAGCTGGACGTGCACTCCTGGCTGTCTCAAACTGATGTTGGGGGGGTGGGATTCCCTCGGCCCATGGTCTGCCTGAGGCCTCATGGCGACTTCCATGAGCTACTTCTTAAGTTGGAGAGCCTGGCCTTCTTAGGTACGGCTTGGGAAAGACTGGCAGATATTACATTAATGGGCAGGATATTACAGGGCAGGAGGCACAGATTTTAAATCCTGGTGTCTTTGGCACTGTCCAGTACCCATGTGTGGGTACTTGGGTGAGGAATAATAGTAAACAGATTCCCCCTAAGTCTCAGTTCTACTATAAATATTACTAAAAGTTAAAACTATGTTAAAACAGTAAAAGCAGCAAACACTACAAGAAAAAAACTAACTATATACTATTCCAAACTTTTTAATGTGCATCATACACAAGAGGACACTAGTAGCTCCGACTTGGACCATGAAGCAGTGAGAAGGAACCGGAGACGCGGTTGATCCGCTCAGCCCTTTATCACCTCGGACGAAATGATGAGGCGAGGTGAGGCAAGGACGCATGCCCGGACCCGAAAGGAAAGTACTACTTTCAAATTCTCCAGCTTTGGACGCATGGCATGGATGTGTAAACCCTCAGTGGAATACTATAGGGACCATTACTCGAAGAAGAACTAGTTTTGGGTACAAAAGCAGTGGCAGAGGAAGGATACAACTGTTAAAGTCAAAAGGTTGTAACAAAAAAGTCAAGAGAACGTTAGATTTTCAATTCGGATAACAGTATAAAGAACTATTCTAGAAGTTTGTGGAGTTACATTTTAGCCCTAGGTTCCATGAAACATGTTAAGATTCTTTTGACATTTGTGAAATGAGTCTTTCAAAACTATTACTTACATTTTGAAGAAGTTGTTCAAACCAATCATATCCTGTATCTCTACAAGCTGCAACCTAAGAAAGAATATTTGGAATAGATTTATAAAAAGAAATCTGAAGAAAAATGTAATTGTAGTATTTCAACACAGGTTTAAATTTAAACTATGATAAGTATTTTTCCTTTACTAAAATTATTTTAAATGGTAAGATAGCAGCAACAGGAACTATGTCTTCTGCATGTGATGTTTTTTCAGATTTTAGATGCTACTACAACCTAAATTAAATAAATCTAAAGTTTTTACTTCAGTTGTAAGGTCACTGTCAGATCAAATTTGACCTAAATTTTAAGTTTTGTGAAAACTAGTTTTTGCAAAGCTTAACAGCTAATAAAATATATGACATATTTCAACTGCCCGAAAATGCATTTTTTAAACAGGCCCTATAGGATTTGCCATCATTCCAGGACTGTTAGCTCATGAGAACCTGAAGGTAAAACTGACTAGACTAAAGGAAATGTAACCAATTAGTCTCTTTTTATTGTCCAAGATCAAAGTAATGCATAAACTACAGTTTAGTATAAATGCTGAAAAGTAGATTTATCAGTTTTAAGCTGTTAATAGTAAGATAAACAAATACATTAATTTTTAATTGATCATGATTTTTAAACAGTATCCTTTAAAACAATACATTTTACATAAGGGCATCGGACTAGATGTGACTTCCTGCATCACTGAGCCAATCCTGTGCTATCGCAGTCAACCCTGTCATACAATCCCATTCATACACTGATCAAGCTCCATCTTAAAACTAGTTAGGTTGTTTGCCGCCACTACTCCTTTTGGAAAACTGTTTCAGAACCTCACTCCTTTCATGGTTAGACATCTTTTAATTTGCAGACTAAATTTATTTATAGCTAGTTTACATCCATTTGTTCTTATGAAAATATTGTACTATAGCTTAAATAGCTCTTCTCCCTACCTGATGTTTACTCTCCTGATGTACTGATAGGGAGCAATCTTATCCATTCTCTGCTTTCGTTTTGCTAGACTAAATGACCCAAACTCTTTTAGTCTCCTCTCATAAGAATGGCTCTCCTTACCCATGCTCCTCCTACTAGCACTTCTCTACACCTGTTCTAGTTTTTAGTCATCATTCTTGAATATGGGTGACCAGAACTGTAAACTGTATTTCAGGTGAGATCTTACCATTGCCTTGTAAAATGACATTAACACCTCCTTATCTTACTCCTGAGGGCATTCTTTGCCAAAAAATTAAAAATTCTGCAAGTTTTATTTGTCAATAAATAAATGCAGAGGCTCCAGCATGGCAGGGGGGAGCATAGGCTACTGGCTGCACAAAGGTGAGAGATCATGCTGCATCACTCCACCCCGGGACACGGACTCAGCGGTGAGGGGGCACCCAACCCTGACATAGCACAAGGCCTGGGCCTGCCCCAGAAACACCTTGGAGTCCTACCCTTCTGCACCAGGTGTGGGGCAGGCAGGCTCAACCAGGCAGGATTCAAGTGTGAAGGGGCTCGGTGTGGGGTGAGAGGGTTCTGTGTGGGACAATCTGGATGCAGGCAGCTCAATGGGGGGGCTAGGTGTTAGGGGATCTGGATGCACAGAGGCTCGTTGGGGGGATTCCAGGTGCAGGGGCAAGGGGACTCTGCAAGGACTTCCAGGCGAAGGTGGTTGCGGCTCAGCAGAGGGATCTGGGAGTGGGGGTCTCAGCGGGGGAGACTAGGTGCTGTGAGAGTGAGGCTTGGTGGGGTGGGAGTCTGGGTGAAGCAGGTTGGGGCAGGGACGCCTCTATGGTTATTGCTGCCCCAAGCACGGAAGTCAGGCGGCTTTCTGCGGCACGCCTGCGGGCGGTCCGCTGGCCACATGGATTCGGCGGCATGCCTGCAGGACGTCCGCCGATGCCATGCCTTCAGCATCCCCACCACCGAATTACCGCCAAAGCCGCGGGACTGGCGGACCTCACGCAGGCATGCCGCTGAAGGCAGCCTGACGGCCGCCCTAACAGCAACCAGCAGGCTGCCCCCCGCGGCTTGCCGCCCCAGGTAACTGTTTTTTCTTCTTCAAGGGCTTGCTCATGTCGATTCCATTCTAGGTGACTTACAAGCAATATCCCTGGAGGTGGGCTCGGAGTTCAGAGTCATGCGGCTTGCAATACTGCTCTACCAAAGCCAGTGTCATCTCAGGCTTGCTGGGTAAGCATGTAGTGAGATGTGAATGTGTGAATGGATGACCAGGTGGCGGTCCTGCAAATATCTGGAATTGGCACATGGGCCAGGAAGGCTGCTGCCGAGGCTTGCGCCCTAGTTGAGTGGGCAGTTACAATCGCAGGTGGAGGCACTTTCGCCTGATGACAGCAAAACCAGATGAAGGCGGTGATCCATGATAAAATTATCTGGTTGGACACTGGATGACCTTTCATCCTATCCGCCACCGCGATGAATCACTGCATCAACTTACAGAACGGTTTGGTCCTTACGATATAGAAGGCTAGTGCTCTCCTGACATCCAGGGAGTGAAACGTACGCTCCTCCTCAGACTTATGAGGCTTTCAGAAGAAGACTGGCAAGAATATGCCCTGGCTCATGTGAAACTGCAAAACCACATTGGGCAGGAAAGCTGGGTGCAGCTGCAGCTGGACTTTGTCCTTGAAAAACACCGGATAGGGAGCTCCAAGGTAAATGCCCTAATCTCAGAGACCCTTCGTGCAGACGTTACCACCACCAGGAATGACACCTTCCAGGAGACTAGAAGAAGGGAACAGGAAGCCAACTGCTCGAAGGGAGCTCTCATGAGCACTAGATTCAGGTCCCACAGAGGTCTCAGACATGGGGATAGAGTCGTTCCAGACCTTTCAAGAACCGGACTGTCATGTCATGAGTGAAGACCTACTCTGGAATGCGGGGGGTGAAAGGCTGATATGGTGGCCAAGTGGATCTTAATCGATGAAAGGGAAAAGCCCTGGAGTTTGAGATACAGAAGATAATCCAGGATTGACAACAGCGACGCCTGTTTAGGCCTAACCCCTTGGGTTGAGGCCCAGCACCTCAGTCAGGTAGGCTGTTCTGGTGGAGGGCTTTTTACTCCCCAGTAGGACCTGCTGGACATGGGCCAAGCACTCCTGCTCATCCAACCACGCAGCAATTAAACTGCCAGGTGCAACACTGCTAGACTCAGGTTCAGGAGACTGCCATGGTTCTGGGATAGGAGATCCGGCCAAAGAGACAGCTTCAGTGGGGCCGTCACCGACAGGTCCAGCAGCATGCCGAACCAATGTTGGCGAGGCCAAACCGGGGCTATCAGGATCACTTTGGCCCTGTCCTGCTTGATCTTCATGAGGACTTTGTGGATCAGTGGCACTGGTGGGAAGGCGTACATTAGAGCCCCTGAACATAGGAGTAAGAAGGCATCTGACAAGGAGCCCCTATTGATCCCCCAAAATGAGCAGAGCATGTGGCATTTCCTGTTCTGACAAGTCGCAAAGAAGTCCACTTGTGGAGATCTCACTTCTGGAAGATCACGCTGACCACCTTGGGGTGGAGCGACCATTAGTGGCGAGACGAGAAGGTTCTGCTGAGGCAATCTGTTAATATGTTCCTGCTCCTGAGGAGGTGCACTGTCACAAGATGAACTTCAAGCTGCACACAAGTCCCAGAGCCAGACAACTTCCTGGCAAAGGGCTGACAACCTGGCTCCGCCCTGTTGGTTGATATAGAACATTGTGGCAGTGTTGTCCATCAGGACTTGAACCACTTGCCCTTCAAGTGGGACCAAAAAAACTGACAGGCCAAGTGAACTGCTCTAAGCTCCCTGACATTTTGTGGAGGGAGCGGTCGACCCACAACCAGTGGCCGTGTGTCCTGAGCTCGCCCAGGTGGGCTCCCCAGCCCAGGTCCGAGGCGTTGGAAACCAGGGTCAGCGACGGGGACGCAACTCCCTCCAACACCGATCTGGGGTCCAAGCACCATGCCAGTGACGACCGGATGTGGTCAAGCACTTTGACTACCAGGTCTAGGTCATGCCTGTTGGATGTAGATCAACGCCTGCCATGCCTGCAGCGGCTGGAGATAGAGCCAGGTATGATGGACCACGTAAGTACAGGATGCCATGTGGCCTAACAACCGTAGGCAAGTGCGGGTGGTAGTGAGCGGGTGGCCCCTTACGTGGGAGATCACATCCGACATAGCTAAGAAACAAGCCTCTGGGAGGAAGACTCTGGACGGCATGGAGTCAAGGACTGCCCCTATAAACTTTGTTCGTTGCACTGGTATGAGGGTCGATTTCTTTTTGTTTACTAACAGGCCCACAGGTGGAACACACCAGATCAAGACTGCTCTGCACTTGATCCCGTGACCTGCCCTTGATGAGCCAATCATCGAGATAAGGACAGACCTGGACTCACCAATATTTCAGGTAAGCAGCTACCAGGACCATGCATTTTGTAAATACCCGCGGGGCCGAGGAGAAGCCAAAGGGTAGCACCGTGAATTGGAAGTGACGCTGGCCCACCATAAAATGGAGGAACCATCTGTGTCCTTGGAAGATGGAAATAAGAAAATAAGCATCTTTCAAGTCGAGAGCAGCATACCAGTCTCCTGGATCCAGGGAGGGGATAATGGAGGTCTGAGAAACCATGCGGAATTTCAACTTCTTGAGGTATTTGTTGAGTCACCGCAGGTCCAGAATGGGTCTTAGGCCCCCCTTTGCCTTCAGGATTAGGAAATAGCAGGAATAGAATCCTTTCCCCCTCATTTCCCAAGGGACCTCCACTACTGCTCCCAGCTGCAGGAGGTTGTTGACCTCCTGAATGAGAAGTTGCTCATGAGAAGGGTCCCTGAAGAGGGACGTGGAAGAAGGATATGAGGGGGTTGGATTGGCTGAGAATTGCAGGGTGTAGCCCAGAGATACAATTTCTATCACCCAGCAGTCTGAGGTAACTAGCGACTAGGTTGAATGGTAGGGATGAAGATGGTTGAGGAAAGGATGAGGCAGATCCGGGGATGTGACTGGGACATCGCTCTCAAGCACCCCCTCAAAATGCCTACTTCTGGACTCTGTGGTTTTTTGCCAGGCCAAGTTGTGCAGGTGAAGGGGAGGAGGAAGGGTGGTGACGACTAAAACTCGTGTCCCTATCCCTTCTCCTTGCAGACCCTTGTTGAGACTGCCAAGGCCTTGACAGCAGCCAGAACTGTTTCCTCGCTGACTGAGGTGTATGTAACTCCAGTGAGCAGAGGGTGGCCTGAGTGTCCTTTAGTCCCTGCAGCCTCTGCAAAGAGTCCAATCCCATCAAATGGTAGATCATAGATCAAGAACTGCATCTCCTGCAGTCTTAAGCCAGGAACTGTGCCTCATGACAACCGCTGAGGAAATCACCCTGGCCGCCGAATCGGCATCATCCCATGCCATTTGGCGGGAACACTGAACTACTTTAGTACCTTTTTCAAGAAGGGCCCTGAATTCTTGGGCCAAGTTCTGGGGCATGGAATCCTTAACTTACAGAAGGAGTCCCATAAGTTGAAGTTATATCTCCCCAAAAGAGTCTGGGGGTTCAAAACTCTGAACTGAAGACTGGCCCTAGAATAAATGTTCCTTCCAAAAAGGTCCAGTCTCTTGACCTCCTTATTTTTGGAGGTGGAACTAGACTGTCCTTGCTTGTCTTTCTCATTGGCTGCAGAAACAACCAATGATCTTGGGGATGTGTGGGTATACAAGTATTGAAACCCCTTAGCTGGGACAAAATACTTTTTATCAGCCCTCTTGGAGGTGGGTGAGATTGAGGATGGGATTTGCCAGGGGGCTTTGGCAATCTTTAGGACCCCTTCGTGCATCGCAAGTGCGACAGGTGCGGGAGTTGATGTGGAGAGCACATTACCCAAGGTGTCTGATTGCTCCGCCATCTCTTCCATCTCTAGGCCTAAATTCATGGCCACCTTTCGGAACAGGGCTTGGTGCTCCTTAAAATCATCCAGTGAGCTAGCGCAAGAGGGCCATGCCACAACCTCATCTGGAGACGATGAGGATGACTGGACCACCGGGAGGGGCCCCAGGCATCATCCCCCATGAAGGAAGGGAGTTTTGGAGTGGGCACCTGCACTTCCACCCGGCGTCCGATTGTGCTTCGCACACCGAGCCCGGTGTTGTCTGATGCTTGTCTGAAGCGGCAACCAATGATTGGTGTGAGGGGGGCATCAGCATAACTGGCATGCCCCAGGCATTCCAATAGAGCCATTGCACTGGCCATGCTGCCAGAACGGCATCATGGAGGTGGACGCAGTCTCAGGAGCCCAGTCACAATGGCGTTGTCTCGGCAAGGGGCTGAACTCCCTCTCAGTGCTGGAGCAACCCTCCTCCGGTGACCATGGCAGGGCTGTCGACGCCTGAGACTGGTGGTTAACCGTCGCCATGGGTTAACAGTGCCTTGAATAGGCGGATCGGTGCCAGGAATAGGGGGAGGGGCACCACGTTGGGGAATGTTCCAGAGTAGGGGGAGTGGCACCACGTTGGGGAATGTTCCCGTGGTCTAGGTGCCAGCGATTGACATCGTGGAGAGGGTCAGTGAGAGGATGACGGTGACCGGCACCTCCCTCTGGGCAAGTCTCAACGAGAGGGCGGAGACAGGGAGCACAGTGCCAGCAATTTGAAGCAGCGAACTGGTGACCTGGGCTGATGTGGAGACCAGAGGCGTGGTGACTAAGAGCTCTGCCTTGGCTCTAGAGACTGGTGGTGTTCACTCGTCTTCTGGGAGGCTTTCATGGCTGGCTTGCCCTCTGGGTCCATTGCAGCAGGTGGTGCTGGCTGCTCTGGGAGAGTCATTTGCTCTCTGAGCGCTGGGAGGGGATGGGAAGGTGTTGACTCTGCAATAACTCTGGGTCCCCAACCACTTCCTGGAGTCGGTGGTGGATCCACTGGGGGTGGGAGTCCCCTGGGGGATGTATCCCCTATGTGGCTATGGGGTGAGTGGGCGGTCCGAACAGGGTCCTTTACTTGATGCCTGTTGGTCCTTCTTGCTCGGTGCCGGGTCCCGCTTTTTTGACTTCTTCTTGGGCACCAGTGAAGGGGAATGGTGCTGGTGAGAGCCCAGTGTCGGGGGTACACAATGCACTGAGGCCGAAGTACTGGGAGTCGAGTCCAGCCGGGATGGCTCAGAGGCCGAGCAGAGAGCAGCCTCCATGAGGAGGGCTCTCAAATGGATGTCGCATTCTTTTTGTGTCCTGGGACGAAAGTTCTTACAGATGCGACACTTCTTTTACATGAGATTACCCCACGCACTGCAGATAGCTGCCGTGGGGGTCACTAACCGGCATAGGCCTATTACAGTCAGTGCAGGGCTTAAAACCTGGAGACTGGGGCATGCCCTGCCTGGGGCAAAGTCCCCACTGGGACTCTAAATTATTAACTACAGTGCTGAACAACTACTTACTAACTACAGTAAACAAAACTATTTACAGCTCTAATACATGAAGCAAAGAAAGAAACTGATGACCATTTGCGAGGCAAGGGAGAGAGGCACTCCAACCAACCACCATGGGCGGTAAGAAGGAACTGAGAGGGTGAAGGGCTGACAGCGCCTGATATATCGATGCACGAGCATGGCACGCCAGAGGGTGTCACAGCCGACCCTATGCATACTTCTAAAGCAAATATCCAACAACTGTCCATGTGGCTGCGAACACTCCTAGAATGGAATCGACATGAGCAAGCACTCAAAGAAGAAATTCCTGCTATTAATTCCTAAGTGCACGACCTTATACTTCGTACTATTATATGTCATCCCGTTTTTATTACTCTAGTTCATCCAGTTCTTCCTGAATAATATTATGTTCCTCGTCCAGAATGGCAATGCTGTGTAATCAGCGAGTCTCATTAGCACACTTCCACTTTTTTTTGGCCAAGATCACTAATAAAAACATTAAATAAGATTGGTCTCAAAATAGATCCTTGAGGAACTCGGTGAATTGCCTCTCTCCAGCCGGATTGTTGTCCCTTCAGCACAACCCATTATCATCTCTCCTTTAGCCAGTTCCTTACCCACCTTACAATTCATACACTGATTCCCATCTTCTCCATTTTAACTAATAATTTCACATCTGGTACAGTATCAATTACTTTACTGAAGTCCAAATAGATTAAATCTAATGCATTTCCCTTGTTTACAAAAAATCAGTTATTTCATCAAAGATATAAGTTAGTCTAGCAAGATTTTCCTTTGATAAACCCATGTTGCATTTTATCCCATTAACCTGCATGTCTTTAATTGTTCTTTCCTTCAAAATTTGTTCTAAAGCCTTGCATAATATTAAGGTCAGACTTACGGGTCTGCAGTTACCTGGATCACTAGTTCCTCTTACTTAAATAGGTACTATGTTTCCTATTCTCCAGTCTAATGGGGTTTTTAAAACATCTTTTGCTTCTGGACTTGCAATTTCATGTGCCAGTTCTTTCAGTATTCCAGGATGGAGATTATCAGGTCCTCCCAATTTGAACACATTATGCTCTTTAAGCTTTGCTTCCACCCTGGATGTGGTCATTTCCATTTTTATATGCTTGTTCCCATTAGCCATCTTGTCTTTGTCCCCATATTTTATATTATCTTTCTTACTGAAGACTGAAGCAAAGTATTCATTTAGTTTTTGGGCCGTACCTAGACTATCTTTAATCTTTACCCCATCCATGCTGAATAATGGACACACTTCTTTTCTTGTTCTCTTTTTATTTATATGGCTAACGAACCATTTACTATTTGTTTTAATTTCCTTTGCAAGGTCTAACACAGTTTGACTTTTGGCAATTCTCACTTTATCCCTATACTTTCTGATTTCTGAGACATAAATTTTTTTGCTGATCAATGCTTTCTTCCATTTCTTGTAGGTTCTTTGCTTACACCTAATATCTTTTTTGAGGTGGTTATTCATCCAGTTAGGTCTGCCAAGTTTTTTCACTTTACTTGGGATGCAAATTCCAGATTATTTTTGCATATTGACTCAAAGAAATTCCAAGTCTACTCCACATTTATGTCCCTAAATTCTTCAATCCAGTTTGTCTTCACTAACTAGCTCCCTTAATTTCTCAAAAATCTGCCCTTTTGATATAAGAAACCTTAGTTACTGACCTGTTTTTAATTATTTTTCCATTAAATTTAAACTGCATTGACTTGTGATCACTCAATCCAAGTTTATTTTCTATGACCAGCTTGTCTATAATGTCCTCAGTACTTACCAAAACCAAGCCTAAAATAGCATCACCTCTTGTTGGTTCAATAATTATTTTGGTTATACATACAAACTTTTCATTTGACACATGTAAAGATTCTAAGAATTTGGGTTCAATTTGTTGCTGATATAAAGTGGGTACAACCAAATTGGCATTCAATAGAGCTGTATGTGCTTATGCCAGCAGGTATTCTGGCCCTATATTTTTTACTGACCTACTGAAATTAACCTTTCAAATGAATTTTATGTATCACATATGGGATACTTTCTTCAAATGAAGTAAAATTTCTTTAGTGGCCTCCAGGCAGCACTGATGGCTACACATAAGCTCTATTAGGGAATTTTATTGTATGTAATAGGAGGCCATTTGGTATAATTATAATTTTACTGCACCAGAACAAAATGTAGTACCATTTATCATCACCAATAGGCTGATGAGTATTTATATTAAAAGTTTTCTACAAGATACTTTTGTTTCTTCCCAAATGTCAGATGAATAAACCCATCACATCTTAAGGGATATAGCAAAAGAGCAGTACATATGATATTTATAAAACTGTCTGGTGATTCAATTACTTGTTTATTTTTATATATTATAAGAAGGCTCAACAATAAAAATTATTTCAAGACATGTTAAAAAACACCTAATCAAATCCTGCATGCGACTCGTTCAAATTTGTAAGGCATACCACATCAGTGATGTTTAATATTTTCCTTGTCATTGCTTCTTTGTCATTGTGGGGAGTTGGAGTAAACCAGAGTTTCTGGAATGTCTCATTCACCAGTTTCTAGAGGAAAAAATATATTGTCAGGGATACATAACTTTATCTTGACATAAAGGTTTCCATATTATTCCCCAATAGACTTATTGATGGTGTGTCATTTTATACAGATTTTTTGGAACTAAGCGAGGCCTTCTAGAAAGAGAAGGTTACCTGAGCAAGACCTGTATCTCTATCTTAGAAGTTTAGATTCCCAGACCAGGCCTGGGGCTTCCAAGCTGTATCTCAGGTCACCATTGCTTGGAAGGACACCTGGATAATTATTGACCAATGGAAATCCATGCTGCAGAAAATCCACACTACAGCAACATTTGTGGAAAATGCCATTTTCACAGAGAGATTTTGTCAGACTGGGAAGAACTGTTACAAGTTTCAGCAGACCATTACTACACTTCCCTGGCGATTCATTATTATCAGATATACACCGCTACCTCGACATAACGTGACCTGATCTAACACGAATTCGGATATAACGCAGTAAAGCAATGCTTTGGGGGGGGGGGAGGGGGAGGGGCTGCGCACTCTGGTGGATCAAAGCAAGTTCAATATAACGCGGTTTCACCTATAACGTGGTAAGATTTTTTGGCTCCCGAGGACAGCGTTATATCGAGGTAGATACAGTAAAAGCTTCACTCAGCCAAACAGAACTGTTAACATCTGTATAGAAAAGAAGAGAACTGGATTCTTCAGCTAAAGTTTGATTGAAGATTCCTGTCTGTATATGCTTGTGAAATTCTTACTATCCAGTGTCTATATTATAAGAGGAGTTAGTCACAACCTTTGTGTTTAAGTTGCTTACTATTGTCCTTTATAAAGGATTCTTGCATTCTTTCAATTGAAAACTCTCATACCTCCACTATTTGCAGCAGGCCATTGATACATGGCAGGGGGCAAGCACTTCAGACTAAAGAAATGTCTTTTCTTTGTCCTGTGAAATTCCATTCAGCTTTTACTGAGATATAAACTGTAAAAAAGTCATCCTCTCTCATCTGTGGCTTGCCAGTCTCAGGAAAATTTGGCCAGCATGCCAAAATAACAATTGAACACAGAAACATTCTGTGGCCAGGCTGCCACTGCCACAAAAGCAGTAACAACATACATTGTACTGGGAATACCCAGGAGCTGCAGAAGCAGCTGTAATAGGGTGGGGGGAGAAGAGAGCTAGGCTAGGTTCCTACCTTGGACCCAGCACATGTCCCCAAGTGCCCCATGCCTCTTTGGGTGCCCTGTTAGGTAGGAATCCCTCAACTCTAAGTTGGGGGCCTGGGGAGGGAGAAAAGAGAAAGCAAAGCCAGGTTCCCCCAACTCCAGTAATGTCCCTAGCAGCCCATTGGGGCACCACATGTGGCAGGATCATCCCCAACTTTTGGGAGGTGGAGAAGGAGGAGAAAGCCAGGCCAGACTCCCCCGCTATCCCAGAACATAGATCCAGCTGTTCATTCCCCCTCTTTAATTACATAATCATATATGTTTTTTTTCCCCCATAGGACCCCTACTTCATTCAGTGTACAGAAAGGACAGAATTAAGGTAACACAGGCACATGTAAATCTAGCATTTCATACCTTTTCAGTGCTTGATCTGGAAACCAAAATAATGTGCTTTTAATCTAGGTTTTTTAAATGCAATCATAGAAGTGTAGGACTGGAAAGGACCTCAATAAGTCATCTAGTCCAGTCCCCTGCACTCAAGGCAGGACTACATAATAACTAGACCATTCGTGACAAATGTTTGCCTAACCTGTTCTTAAAAACCTCCAGTGACGGAGATTCCACAACCTTCCTACAATTTGTTCTAGTGTGTAACTACCCTGATAGTTAGGACGTTTTTCCTAATGTCCAACCTAAACCTTCCTTGCTGCAATTTAAGCCCATTGCTTCATGTCCTATCTTCAGAGGTTAACAAGAACAATTTTTCATCCTCTTTCTTGTAACAAATTTGTTTGTCCTTGAAAACTGTTATGTCCCCCCTCGGTCTTCTCTTCTCCAGATTAAACAAACCCAATTTTTTCACTCTTTCCTCATAGACATAGGTCATGTTTTTTAGACTTTTAATCATTTTTGTTGCTCTCCTCTGGACTTTCTCCAATTTGTCCACATCTTTCTTGAAATATGGCACCCAGAACGGGACACAATACTTCAGCTGAGATCTTATCAGCACAGAGTAAGGTGGAAGAATTACTTCTCGTGTCTTGCCTATAACACTCCTACTAACGCATCCCAGAATGATTGGGGGGACGGGGGGGGTTGGTTGGGTGGTTTTTTTGCGCAACAGTGTTACACTCTTGACTGCTATTTAGCTTGTGAACCACTATAGATCCCAGATCCTTTTCCACAGTATTCCTTCCTAGGGGTGATTTCCCATTTTGTATTTGTGCAATTGACTGTTCTTTCCTAAGTGGAGTAATTTGCATTTGTCCTGACTGAATTTCATTCTGTTTACTTCAGACAATTTCTTCAAATCATTTTGAATTTAAATCCTATCCTCCAAAGCACTTGCAGCCCCTCCCAAGTTGGGAGGGTTTATTTATGTCAATAATCAGATAGACACAGAGTGGAGATAATCAATATTTGCAAGTGGAAAAGAAGAAATAAATATAAATATTTTTATTTTATTTTTGAGCTCCCTTATTTCTTAAACAAAAATGGAGTAAACAACAAAACAACACGTCTGACAGGAACCTATCAATAAGATTGTGAATAAAAAAAAAGACATTTATTTTAAAAAGTTTAAAACGAATAAAAATTATACATATACTAAAGAAACTCTGAAATGCTTTTAAGGAAAAATCTAAGAGTTGTTATTTATTTCTCAAAATAAAAAGAAAACTAAAATAAACTGTAATTAAAAACTTAAAAGAAATATTCTACCATACCTTAATGCCCTCTTCATCATTGACTCTGCGAATCATTTTCACGCACATCTCTGTAATTTTAGGAAATGTTGGCTGTTCAATGCAGATATCTCTAAGAATCTTTATAACTCTCTTTCTGACACTGATACCAGTATCCTGATGGGAGAAAGCAAAATACTCTTGAAAAAAAAATCAGAAGTGAGAATGAATTTAAGTATTGTGTGCATTAATATCAATTAAAAGTTATCAAGCTTAACTTGCAAAACATGTGAAAACAATAACTACGAAATTCTAAATGCACCTATGTGAAAGTCAGCATTACTGTTTGGTAACACCATTTCATTCCAGGGATCCTGAAGGTCCTGGAAGTCAAGTTCTGTGAATACTGCATTATTACCCCATTCTACATTCTCTCCCTCAAGAGGTCCGCATTTGTTCTGGTATTAAGGAATGGTCTAAAATCTATGAGAGCCTAATAACTCCGCATATTAACTGGACAGAGATTACACTTCCTTCCTTCCTAGGAGACTGGCTTGGGAAGCAACAAACTGACAATTAAAATGCAGATGTTCTGCATGAGAGAGAGAAAATGGGTGAGGTAATATCTTTTATTGGACCAAGTTCTGTTGGTGAATGAGAGATGCTTTTGAGCCATACAGAGCTCTTTCTTCAGGTCCAAGCGTCACAGCTAAATACAACATGGAACAGATTGTTTTAGTATAAGTAGTGAGCACATATTCTAAGAGACTATTCAAGGTAGCATTGACCTGTTAACACCTCTGCAGTCATAGGACAGAATGGGGTGTTAGTAGGTTACAGATTGTTGTAATAAGCCATAAATCCAGTGAGTCTGTTCAGTCCATTATTTTTAGTGTCGAGCAGAGTTATGAAGTTAAACTCCCTGGCTCATCTTTTGAAAGCATTCTACAGGTTTCCTTTGAGGTTGAGGACTGACAAGTCAGACAGAGAGTGATCCCTTTGTGAAAAGTGTTCATTCACAGGTGATGGGTGTTTTTGTATTTTATCATTTTCCTGTGAGAGTTCATTCAATAGCATAGTGATTGTCTGGTTTCGCTCACATAGTTGTTATTGGGGAATTTAGTGCACTGGACGAGGTATACCACATGTTATGATAGGCATGTATTTAGGAGTACAACTACTAGGCCACTGGGCTATTTCACTGTAAATTACATTTTCGATTATTGCCTGGATACATTATAATACACGTTTAATGTCAAATTATAGCAATAAATGATGCCAATCACTAAATCCTCATCTGACAGTTTCATATTTTAACTTATCAGGTTTGTACTCTTCTGTCCCAAGTGGGCTACAGCAGGCTCTCTTTTTTGTTAGCCCTCATATATAACATGCACATGAGGCAATCTAATGGTGATAGTGAGATGATGAGGGCTTCTATATGTAGATCACTCCAAGTTCTAAATCTCTATGTTATCAGATTCAAACTGCAACTCTCCCAGTGTTTAGAAGAGAAATCAGCTTGTGCTCTAGCTTGCTGAAACTCTCAGATAAGATAAAGATATTATTGATTGGAAATAAATGCAGAAATATATCTGACTCTAACTGAGGGAGTTTTCCCATCTTTTGTTACTCAGGTTTGCAATTTGGAGAATCTTAGTGGATTCTTCCATCCTTCTTAATATCCAAAGAGCAGAAATAGCAAGAGTACTTTCCCTCCCTCCAAATCTGCACTCGTTCAGAAGGTGGCAACTATTTTTTGTCCAGCTGTGGACAAAGCCAGTGTTACTCGTCTTTTTGTGACCTTGAGATTGATTTTCTGCAATATGCTCCAACATAAATTGGATTATACCTGAAGATCATTCAAAACTTCAGCTATCGCAGTGTAACATAATGGTGTTTTTCATAGGTAGCATATTGCACTTGAACTCCAGAGACTGCACTAGCTTCCAACAAATTCATGTTTAGGTGTATTTAACAAAAAAAATTGCAGTGGTTAGGCTCCTGGTGTGTTAAGACCACTGCCTATCATGCTGACCAATTCTGTCTCATTGTTTCCTTGTACTCCCCAATTAGTCTGTCTGAATCCATCTATTGTCTCTTTCCTTGTACTTAGATTGCATGTCTTTGGGGGTAAAGATTATTTTTTCCTGTTCAGTGTTTATACAGTGCTTTGCACAATGGGATCATGGTTCATAAGTAGGACTCCTACACACTACAGTGATACCAATAACAGCCACCTTTAATATTTGGGTCCTGTATGTCTTAGAGATTCTCTCTTCTCCTGTTTTACCCTTATGGTTCAGACCAGTCCCCACAATGTTCTGAGAGCAGAGCTCTCTCACTATCAGACTATTGGCTCTGGAACTTAATCTTTTACACCACTCTTGGTTTAACAGACATAAAAATGATAGATCTTAGATGTACTTCCCAGCTTATCTATTTTCTCAGGCTTAATCTACAGAGATGGAAATATAGGAATGAGAAGTTTAGGCTTTTAGATTTAAAATGTTACAAGTTCTTTAAACAATGACACAGAGTCACACTGAATATTTCTATATGTATTTATAAGTGTTTGATACATACATGCTCCTAAAGCCTTCCACATGCATGTTTTAATCAAAATAAATAACTTGACATGCAAAATACTAATTCTTTCTCACTGTTAATTTAACATGTTCATGTGATCTATCTGAATATCATAAACAAATATACAAAATAATCACTCTTTGGCATCAGAAAATGTTTTTACACTGCCAAAAATTAGAATAGAAAAATGTATAGATTTAGGTTCTGACCCACCAGTTCCTCATCAAAAGCAATTGTTTCAATTCACAAGGTTAGTCCGGTGGGCAGAATTTTTATTTTTGATTCCCCAAAAAATCTATACAAGTTCATTTACTCTAGGAACTGGGATACTATTCAATATAATTAAGAATATAAGCCCAGTTAAAAATGTGTTTACAAACATCAAAGTGATTTCAAAAGTGACCATACCAGTATTCGCTCAATGAGCATGTCATAATACTGCTCAGCAAGCTGAGGTCGACAGAGCACAAACCGACCAAGCAACTCCACAGCTGCTTCTCGTACACTAGTGGAGTTATCCATTAACCGTCCGTGAACACCTCGTTGCATATCCAACTAAAAAAATAAAGGGAAACACGAATGCAAAGTATGGAAAAACAGAATTTCTTTTAAATGTGAATAGAAGAATGTATGTACATTACAGATAGTTTCCTTTTTTACCCTGGCTAGAATGCTGGGGTCTACAGCAACAACCTCAGACAAACACTTCATGGCTTTTGTTCGAACTGCAATCGCATTTTCACCAAGCACACGCAGAATCTAATAAGAAAACAAAAGTGACATTTTAATCGCTTTTGGAAAGTAGCAAGCAGTGTTCAATGCAAGCAAAAATACAATGGAACAACATGCAAAAGTCAAACTAAAATGAGAAAAATCAACTACCAAAAAATCGAACAAACTTTTAAAAAGTGAGGGGATACATGTGAGTGATGACTTTCCTGCACTGATATTGGAGCCTGGATCCTCCCTCACTATGATAAGCCATAACCCAAATGTTGATCCATAGGGTCCATCCATTTATTTTAGCTCTCTTTTTCCTATCCACATGTCGCTTTATTATCCTCCAAACAGGATTTGTGCACCCCAACTTTGAGATAGCTCTCTGTTAAGTGGATCAAAGAAAGTAATGTGACCCAAAGCATTACCTGGAGCTCAAATGTATCACCATGTCAACATGTTAGTGCTCCTCTCCCAGTCAGAAAGAAGGAACACTAAGGTCACTTGGTCAAACCATGACCATCAGTATGACAGCACCATTCATTGCAGGCAAATGATTGAGCTGGTTTGCATGTCCAATTTAAAATTTATACAGTTACATGAATGATCTATGAAGACATGTTTTATGAGGTCATATTCCCAATCAGGCATGCATTTTAGATAGACAAAATCTGTGAAAAGGTTTCAACATTTTGTAGTTGTCTTTTTATTGTGCCCATCTAGTTGATGGATCTCTATATATGCACAAATAAAACAATATATGTACAGTATGGTATGTGTAATATACATGCAGGAAAAAAGAAAAATAAGCACATATGCTATCAATACATAACATGAAAACATGTGGTGTTATCATGACCTATTAAATACCTGTGCTCAACAATGAACAGACATTGCACACTACCCCATAAGTGTTTGGAACCAGGAAACCAACTGTATTTCACAGCATTAAGACTTCTGGCACAGTTTACCTGTGTCAAATAAATATCGAAGCTCTGGGCAAACGGCCTCATAGAGGCCAAGTAGCGAACAATCAAGCAAGCATCTTCATAGTCCACAGTATCAGAATTCATCCTGCAACAAAATTAACACAATACTTGATAGTTATTTATTAAAAAACAAAGAAAAATGCTTATAAGTCAAATGAGCAGGTAACAAACTAAACCCACAATAACTGAAACTTACTTCAATGTACTGAACTGAGAGGGTGCAGTTTTAATGATACTGCGAAGAAATTTTTTGCGACCTTCCGCTCTGTGCATGATTTGTCCTGTTGTCTCAATTTCTTTTGCATGGTGAGTTCCTTCAGATGAATCCTCATCCTTCTGAGATTTCATTGCTTTCTCTGTCTCCATAGTTGTGTCACGGAACCACTGAGCTATATAAAATTTCCGAGAAAACTGGAGAAATGCAACAAGATGGCAGAAAAAACAAAGAGCGATTATTAATAGTTCCTTTTCAAATTGTGAAGAAATTAAATTGGGTCCAGACAGGTATTAGCCCCAGTTCAATGTTATTCAACATTTTTGTTTGAGACTTGAAAGGCAGAGTGGAGAATATGTTAGTCTAATACAAACAATACCACTGACAAGAACCAAAGGATTATAGTAGATAAATAGTATATATGGATGTCTACAGTGTCAAGTATGGCATTTATGAAAGAGTCAGTCTGAATGCATCAAATACCAAGTAAACAATGTGCTCCGAAGAGAATTTAAGCATTGGCGGGCAAGGACCATTATAAACATTATGACTGACATTCAATAGAATGGGTCTACTAAGATTTCAATTACTTTAGAGAGATAAATGCTATGAACAGTTTTGGGATTAGAACAAGGGTGTAACCAAGGCACAAGTATGTCTGTCCCAGAGCCTTGGGGAATAAACCATGCCTTTGATGAAGTTATATTTATATAGACCTAATACATCCAGAAAATTGAAATTTACCAGTAATGAGGCATCAGTCTCTGTGTTTTCATCCAAATAATCTAGCAATGCCTTTTGTAGCTGCTGGATTTCATCTTCTCCTCCTGAAACCTGTAATATGTAGCAAGATACATTCATAAGATATAATATCTCACAGTTGCAAATATGATCAAGAAATCATTATATACACAGGCATATAAATTAATGTAATGTAAAACCACACAATTAATTATGTTGACAATAATTCCAAACTATTTAGATAATTTTTATAAATAAATTATCAATAAAACTGCAACACGCAAACCAGATTATACATGAGGGACATTGTCCGGCTATGCCGGAAGGACGGGAGACATTGGATGCAGTTTAATTAGGCCACAGTTATTCTTAAATGTCAGAATACCTGGCAGATAAAAGTGTACAGTGTAGGTAATTCCATAATCATTTACATATATCTGGAAGTGGGGACTGTTGTCAGCCCTAACCCTTTACCTATCCTAGTCCCCAGCCAACCTAATGCTGGGACCTCACCCCCCATCTCCCTCAAACAAGACTTATGGGCGACTATAAAGGAGGAGGAGTTGGCTCCTTGCCATACTAATCATAGGAGCACTGAACTCCCTCCACTCCCCGTTTCCACTTCTTTAAAGAATATCTCCTTTAAATCCTTCACCAAACCATTTTATCTGATCACCATATCCCTTCCCTACAGAGTACCTACACTGGACATCCACCCATGCTTACATAATGAGTTGCAACATCAAAGCCTAACCTCCGTTTCATGTCCACCACCACAAAGCCCCAATACGCTGTGAAGAAGGCAAGAAACCCTTACCTTGCCTTAGTCAATCTGGCAGAGAGCGGAAAAAATTCCTTCCCAGCCTCCTCCCCCCGGCCCTCAAAACAAATGAGTAGCACAATGCCCGCAGCGGATTATGACAAAACCTGGTATTTAACCTATTTCCATGGGTGAGAGGGTAGGGGCTGTTCCACCTGGTCCAGGTAAAAGAGGGTTTTTCCTGTACCAGTGTGGACCTAAAAAGTCTCCCTTCTCTTCCGATCATTGGTCTGAAGTTGCTGCAGAAAATCACTTCACACACCTTTTCCAGACAATGGCCACTATCGCTTAACAGAAACAACTGTAGAGCAGAATGTGATGGACAAAAATAAACTGCCTTCCAAAAATCTTACTGTGTTAATATTCAGTCTGTGATGTTGTTATGGTCCCTGTTATTGGGAAAAAATGCCAAAGGATTTAAATCCCACAAAACAGTCTGACACATTCAAATCAAGAAACATTGTCTGTTGTGTTACAATATTAGACATTGGAACGGCAAGTTGCTTAGGTCACTAGGGCAAAAAGGCAGGAAAAAGAAGGGAGAAGTTGAGAGAAATAGTCTCATTAATTTTGACAAAGCAAGGTTATCTGTTAGTAACTGTTGTCCAAGGATGTAACATCTACACAAGCACCACTGATTTCATGTGCTCAGATATATCTAAAAAAAGCAGAGCTCATTGGGGCTGCACAAGTGTCCTTTCAATGATCTGAACATTGGCAGTGAAGTTATAAAAGGAACTAAGAGAGGATACTCTGAAGAGTGGAGAGTTGGATAGGAAAGTGACTCTGCATAGGCATTTATAATAAAAGAACGGTTACTGTAAGAAACCTTTTTTCACCTTTTAGAACTATTTCTGTAGAGCCACATTCTTAGAAGCTTAGCAAGATTTCAATTTAATTAATATTAGTCAACAAGATTTAGATTGAAAGCTCTTTGTGGCAAGACTCTTGTCTTTTTATTTGTTCTGTGAAATGCCTAATAAAATTTGAGTGCTTAAAAGAATGAAAAAAACAAAGCACTAACTGCCCAAGAGGACAGTTGAAGAGATTGCAGAACTACTTGCCCAAAATGAGCATCAAATTGAAATGCTAAACCAAGAGAGCAGTGCTTTGTAAAAATAGGAATGAGCTCCAGGAGGCAAATGTACAAGTGATTGGGATAGGAATGCCATTTGCAAAATGAAGATAATATTACATAAATCCTTTGTAAAGTGCTTTAAGATCTATGGATGAGAAGCATTACATAACAGCCAGAGTGTGGCCCGCAATTTATCAGGTACATTGCTAATTTATAACAGCTTTAAATGTAAATCTAATCTATTTAGAATGTCAGAACAGAATCTATTCTCTACTAGATCTAATTCTAAAAGCTATAAATAACTACCTCTATTACTTTCTAAAGAGTTCTGTCTTAAGTAATAATGCAACACTATATGTAACATTGATATGTAGAGGGGTTTCCCTCATAGCATGTGTGTTTTAGAGGGGAAATGGAATATCAATGGTCTGATTCAAGTCAGTCAAACTAGCTTTGGTAAAAATTTTGGATAAGGACATAAAAATAACTTTTTCTTGTGAAATATTAAAAAATGAAGATTGCTGTCCTTGCCGATGTTATCGCAGTCAAAAGAGGCAGTTTTCAGAAATAAATGAGAGATGTAACACTCTCTCAAGGGTTCACAGTGTGTCTACATAAGGAGAGATTATTTACCTTGTACAGTAAATGGAGTTCTGCGAGGTGTCTCCCCCTATGGGTGCTCCACTTCAGGATGCATGTACGCCCATGCACTCTTGATCTGAGATTTTCATCAGCAGTGTCCACAGGTCCACATCTGTGCCACAGATATCCTCATGCTTCAGTGTGAGGTTACGCGGGGGCTGTGGACCTGCCACTGCTCCAGTTTCTTCTCAACCATGAAAGTCTAGTGAGAAGACTCCGAGGCAGAGGGGAAGGAGGTCAGATAATGGAATACCCAGAGGGGGACACATCTTGAAGAACTCCTGTTCCTGCAGAAGGTTAAGTAACTTCTCCATCTTTTCAAGGAGCGTCCCACTGGGTGCTCTGCTTAAGGAGATGCTCAAGCAGGACCTCAATTACAGAGGAGGATGCCGAGGAGGCATATTCAGTATGGACCATAGAACAGCGTTACTGAAAGCTACGTCAGCTCTGGAAGCAGGCACCAGAGTGTACTGGTCAGAAAACACATGCATCAAAGACCAGACAGCACTAGCTCAAGCCTGTCAATGCAGGATGGAAGGCTCACTCTTGTGGGCTGCCCTGTAAGGGTATCTGTACACAGCCTGCAGCAGTGAGCCTCCCAGCCTGTGTTGACAAACTTGGACTAGTGCTCTAAAATAGCTGTGTAGAGAGCACTTTAAAGTCATGGTGTGGGCTAAAACTCAGACTCTGAAGCTAAGGGGAGGGCCACAGTAAGATGCATCCTGCAACCCATTTGGACAGTCTTTGGGTGGAGTCCTTTAATACATTCCACAACAGAGATGAAAAATCTATGGGAAGCCCTGAAGCGCTTAGTCCTGTTGAGGTAAAAGGCGAGAACCCTTCTTACGCCCAACACGTATAGGCTCCGTTTTTTTTCAAGGAGTGAGCCTTGGGGTAAAACACTGGTACGTGAATCTCCTCATTAATATGGAACTCTGAAGAAACTTTTGGTGGGAAGTGAGGGTGTGGATGTAGTATTACCTTGTTGCAATAGATCAATGCATACAATGGGTCAACCAGCAGGGCTCCCTAGTTCCCCATCTCTCTTGGTCAAAGTCACGGCTATGAAGAGTAGGAGGAATGAAGTCATGAGGGGAAAATGAAGGAGGGAACAGCTTCCCATAGGCTTCTTTAGTGCATGAAGGACTAAACTGAGCTCCCATTGTGGAGTGGGTTCTTTGACAGGAGGAAAAAGGTTGAATAGACCCTTAATAAATCTTGTAGTGGTCAGGTGTGCAAAGACTGAACACCCCTCAATAGGGGTTGAAAAGCTGAGAGGGTAGCCACATAAGCTGAGCATTAATCCTAAATTTAGTAGCTAATGAAGAATGTACATCAGATGAGACTTGAGAGGAGGTATAGATTGGTGACTGCACCAAAACTGAAAACTTTTCCACTTCTATAGGAAGGTTTTCTTTATTGTAGGTTTTCCGCTATTGGGCAGTACTGTTTGTACCTCTGGAGAGCAATCTTATTCTATAGCAGAGAGCCATATAGCAGCTACATGCCTTGAGGTGAAGTACAAAGACGTTCCAGTGGGTTATGTATCCTGACTCTAAGGTGAGGAGATTCACTGTCAAGAAAAATTCAAGAGGCAGTTGCTGAGACAGGTGAACCAGCTCTCTGACCCATACCTGTCTCGGCCATGATGCTGCTATGAAGATGGCTACTAATTTCTTCCTGTTTCAATTTATTCAGGACTTTGAGTAATAACGGCGTAAGCACATAGCAACCTGAACTGCCAAGGAATGACATGGGCATCTCCCATTGAGTTGTGGCTGTGCCTTCCCCTCAAACAAAATCGTCTGCACTTTGCATTGGATGGTGTCACAAAGAGATCTATTTCTGGATGACCCCAGGTGAGACACAACCTTTGGAACCTGCATTGTTCAGTTCCCACACATGCTTGATGGAGTACGCAACTGTGTTCTGTAGTCCTGGAAGATAAACCGTTGAGATCTGTATGTGGTGTGATACTTACCAGTTGCACAGTTTTACTGACTTGGCACATAAGAAGTAGGGTCCTGCTCCTCTTTGCCAATTGATATAATAAACAGATACTGTGTTGTCCAGCATTATTCTGATTGGGTTGCCTGTAATGTAGGGGAAGTAAGTCCTAGCAAGAGTAACGAACCTCTCTGAATTCGAATATGTTGATGTGGAGGTTTGCCTCTTGTGGGATCCATTTGCTTTGAGTCCTAAAACAGTGCACCTCAGCCTAGCAGGGAGGTTTCTATGATGATGATCCTTGTGGGAGGAGCCTGTGAGACTGGCACTCCCACACACATGTTTTTATGGATCTTTCCATCAATTTAGAGAATTAAGGACCCTATGAGGTATGGACACCCACTTGGATAGATTGTGCTTGGGGATATAAGCGGTTCTCAGCCAAGCTTGAACCTGGGAGTATAATCTTGCTAAGGGTGTCAAAAATGTACAATTTGGCATATGGCCCAGGAGTTGCAGGAAAGCCCTTGCTGTGATTTGTGGGAGCAAAACAGTGATAAAACGGGATGAGATGGTGGGAGAATGCAAAATATCCTCATCTGGAGAGGAGGAAGATTTATGGGAAAATGGTATTTATTCGTCCACAGCTGGCTCTGGCTCCTCTGTAAGATCAACCTGTGGAGCAGGACCAGAGGATGCTTTGGTATCGGAGGGGGTGGTACCTGTGTAAGGATATGATGTCTCCTGAGAACTAAACTGAGAGGGTGACTTTCTCCTTCTCTTATCCCATTTTTTGAGGCTCTGGATTATTTTAAAGGGTCCTCAGGAACTTTGCTTACCATCGAGCTCTCTGAGCAACCAAATCCAATGAGCAGGGGGTGACTTGGACCAATGCATCCAGCAGAAGGCTCCATCAACAGAAGCTTTAGTCTGTCTTGCCTCACTTTTTTAGATTTGCCTTTAAATCCTGAACAGACCTTACAATTGGAGGTGATGAGACTCTCTCTCAGGCAGTGGACACAGATTGAATGCCCATTGCTGTGGGGAAAAAGACCTGTGGCAGTTCTGGCAGGGTATGAAGCCCAGGGTCTTGGGGATAACCCATTACACGAGGCCCGAGGTCAAGACCCGAGAGAAAAAAAAACAAAGGCCCAGATCAAGCAAATGTAAGAGGGGAAGGAGAAAACTCCCTAAGTTTTGTGCCCTCCTAAGCACAAAACTATGCTAAATTAATGAAAAAATGGAAAAAATATAAAAAGAAAAGAATTACTAAGAAAAAAAGATAAAAAAATAAACTGCCAGAAGATACAAACAGCAAGCTGCGTCGTTAGCTATAGCAGACACTGCAATGCTACATCTCAAGTCGCAGACAGCTGAGAAGGAACTGGAGCAGCAGAGAGTCTGCGTCCCCTTCTCCTCCTCCACATACACACTCACACCAGAGCATGAGGACATCTACGACTCAGGCCCAGACCTTCAGACACTGCTTATGAAAATATCTTATCAAGAGTGGACAGGCATGCATACATTCTGAAGTGGAATACCAATAGGGACAGCACTCGAAGAACTGAGTAGGTACTCAACTTAAGTTTCACTTAAGTATACACTTAATGAGATCCTTTCAAATAATTTTTTGTTCTTAGAATGACCAAAGCCTGATGAACCTCAAAATGGTATGGAGGTTATGTCAAAATAGATGCCTGATGGACCTTGAGGTCTAGACCTTTTCAAATAAATAAATACATATATACATACATCCAAAAAACTGTGGAACTCATACAGATGTGGGTGACAGCCTTATTCAATATTCCTTAAAGAAGTAGTTTCCATTTCCAAGAATAACATTTTTTTGCTTTAAGTTTCCTGGCTCTAAGGTATTTCCCTTCTTAAGCACTCAATGTAGTTTACTAGGGTGCAACAATGCTATCTGCCATGTGAAAAGATTGGATCTGGATTCAGAACCCAGTGATGAAGCCAAGATAGAAGCCCAAACACCAGGAGTAGGAGGAAAAGTAGCTCCAATTACAAGCCCACGAGATCTGAGTAACAAAGATGTTGAGTCCAAATAAGAGCTGCTAGAGTTACGCACACGATCTAGTCCCTAAGGAAATTCCTTGATAATGTCTGGAAGCAGAGGCAGGAAGGAATAAATATACAGTTTTGCCCCAGTTCAACAACAGAGAATCTAGCAGAGAACCCAAATCTGCTCTTGAGCAGGAAAGTGGTCACTTCACACCGTTTCTTGTAGCAAAGAGGTCTCCATCTTGTGAGAAGAGACTGAACCACCCATGTTGCTCTTGATGCCTGCAATATACCAGCATATCATTCTTTTTTCCTGCAAGATAAAGAGCAGTGTAGTGATTCTGGAGAAATACAACATTTCCAGAGAATTATCACTTGGCATAAATGTCTTAAGTAAGATGACCCTTGTTTACATAGTACACAGCTGTGGTATTGTCCATAATATGCTTTCTTGAAGAAATGCTTTTAGAGCCCAACATATTGCCCGGTGCAGTTTCATTTCCCATGAATTCCAATGACCAGACAGAGGTGCACTAAGAGGAAAGAGAGGAGCACTGTGCCAAAGCGCAGATATCTACCTCTACCACTTCCTATGGAGATTGGGGAACTGAAAGAGACCCCTTTTAGAACATTCTTCTGCACTACTCAGTGCAGCATCCTTAGAATCTTTGCAGGTATTGAGACAAGTTAACAAGTTCATCCTTCCTGGAAGAATAATTTGAGCTGAACCTGTGATGTAAAGGTATGATTTGATGTTTTGCACAGGGTGTGACGTAAGCTGACAGTCATGAAACCCATAAGTCTCAAAACAGACTGAACACACTTTGGTCATTTAGTTGATAAATATTCTGAATCTCCATAAGTTTCTCCTCTGGTAGAAATACAGCTGCCACAGAAGAATCTGAAGTGGTTCCTATGAAAGTCATTCTCTGATGGAGTTACAGCTAATTTCAGACTACTAATCCTTAAGATTGGGAGTGAAACTGGGATCAAATAAATTTGAAATGACCACTGAACTCCAGTTCTGACCATGCCTGACCCAGCCAGTGACCAGGAAAAAACAGACAAATCCTTAGGCATTTTAAATAGACAGCCTAAATCTAGGTATTGTGGAACACTCATGGCATAGTGGAGAGCCAAAAAAGAAACACCTTGTACTGAAAACTGTTGCCTCCCTCACAGAAATGGAAGCAATTCTGATGAGTAGCACTGACAGAACCTTGGGAGTACATGTCCTCTAAACAGAGCTCCAAACCAGTCCTGATGGCACAAATAAGTGTGACTGATGCCAGATTCATCATTTGGAAATTGAACCCACATCTATACTACTTTAGTTTTATCAAATGCATATGAAAGTAGCTCTAACTAAATAAACAGATTTGCTCCTTTTGTGTGTTCAGACACATCTGCTGACTAATGGCTAAAATGATTTTTACTCCTCTTTAGAGAGAGCAGTGAGTTGGATTCTATTCCTTCATGTGCATCATCACCACACAGTGGAACAGAACTGTTCAGTAGTTTTAACCCAGTGAAGATAAGCGGTTGGCACAATAGCAACTGAGGCCCTAATATGACCTGCAGAATCCTTACTATTGAAAATCATGTGTGAGGTTGAAAGAATCCAGTCTTGATTCTCAAAATCCAGGATAAGTTTATAGGGCTGGTAGCTAGAAAACACATTTTTATTTATAATCTGAGTACATCTGATGAACTCTTAAAGAGTTAATAAAGATGGACTCCCCAAATGGCACTTTTACATAATGACTTTTCAGAGCAGAATAGCACTTCAGACATTTTTAATGTCTCCATCTGTATTGTTATCTAGGCACCAAATCATATGGATCTTATATATACCTGTTTTAAAATTCGAGCTATGGATCCTTGATCCATTTTGCTAGTGACCGCATCTTTTCTCAATCTTGCAGCTACAGTTCCAAGATAATCAAGTGATGCCACTCTCAAAGCCATCTCTGTAGACTTGTTACTGAATTGATGAACCTAACAAAAGCAGGATAAAATGTTATCTACTCATTAATGTACCTGCAGTGTTTTTCATAATATACTATTTGATCTTACTCAGAAATTCATCAACTAATAAACTGAATAAATTACATAATTTACAATGGCCACATATTTGTTTGAAGTGTTGCTGTAGATGTGTTAGTCCCAGGATAAGAGAGAGACAAGATAGTTGAGGTAATATATTTTATTGGACCAACATCTGTTGATGGAAGATAAACGCTTTCAAGCTTCACAGGGCTCTTCTTTGGGAAAGAAAATCAGTGTGTCTGAGCTAAATACAAGTTGGGACAGATTATTAAGCATAAGGGGTTAACACATGTTGTGGCAGATAATTTAAAATGAAGTGGGCAATTGAGGATTAGCAAGCAGTTACAAATTCTTATAATGAGCCATAGACCCAGTGTCTCGGCTGAGTCCATGCTTTTAAGTATCTAGCAGAGTTATGAATTTAAGTTACTAAAGATATAATAATAAATGATATTACCTCACTACCTTGTCTCTCTAATAACCACATATATAATATTTTAACATTAATATCAAATTCATTTCCGTCACCTGAGTATTTTTTTTTTAAATGGTCCTTCTAATCAAACTAACTAGAGAGGATGCATCTTGTACAGTGAATTTGATTAGAAGGACCATTTAAAAACAAAAATCTCAGGAGTATTTTTTGCAGGGAGGGGCCCAGTGGTGAAGGAAATGAAATCATATATATATATATATGAATGAATGAATGAATGAATGAATGAATGAATGAATGAAATGTGTGCGTGTTAATATCATACTTATGTAATCTACCTGCCATATGTACACCAGTGAACTGCAAGCTACTATCTAGCTGGCTTAATCACGGCCATGATTATACATTATTTGTGCTATTGCCCAGAAACAGGCCAGTACTACTTATCACAGTGACTTATGAATTTCAGACATTCTACATCAGTTAAAATGTTTAATTTATTTGAATCATAGCATTCTCTATGTTAATGTGCTATACTAGCAAGATAACTAAACTACTGAATAATATTTTTGTGCTATATGAGCAACCTAGAGAAGCTATTATATATGAATATCTGCAGATGATGGTGGGTTTTACCAAATATGAGTCTATGCAGCTATTGGGTGCTATGGACTGGAATTTTAATGTGAAAAATATCCCCCATAGAAGGATACAAGTGACCACCACTGAGCAACATAGTCCATGGTGTCACTTTCTTTCAAATTACCTTTCAAATACAATAATTTTCCAAACTAAACTTCACTATCTGTATACTATCAGAGGGGTAGCCGTGTTAGTCTGAATCTGTAAAAAGCAACAGAGGGTCCTGTGGCACCTTTGAGACTAACAGAAGTATTGGGAGCATAAGCTTTCGTGGGTAAGAACCTCACTTGCATCTGAAGAAGAAGTGAGGTTCTTACCCACGAAAGCTTATGCTCCCAATACTTCTGTTAGTCTCAAAGGTGCCACAGGACCCTCTGTTGCTTTTTATCTGTATACTATTCAGTATATTATATAATATAGTGATATACATCAGCAGAAAGTTCTTAAATGAAGCATGAACATTATATATTACAAACAAACATTTAAATATTAATAAAAGATTATGTCAAAATAAACAAGTTTTCATTATGATGAAAAGGAATCATCATCATGGCAAATCCCAAAGGGACATAGCTGGCTTGTAGACTGAGCAGCGCCCATATCAATATCAATCTCCAGCGAGGTCCTTCCGCTGTCTGGCTGGCTGATCAGTCTCTGTCCATCATTGCCACTCTTATTATGGCAAAGCCAGAAAACCCATGTGGCATTAGATCTGATCATTCTACTATCACCAGATCTTTACCTTGGAACAGCTTTTTGAGAAGATGGCTACATTTAATAAGAATGTGCAGCACTTTATATCACTATGATAAACTGGAAATACTGTGGTCTCTTACCAACAACCTTCCTAATAAGCTAAGTAACAGCTCAGCAGCAGGCCATTCTGGCTTGTTGACCGTGGAAAGAAGATCTTGAACAAAGTTCTCAAACAGTGGCCTATAATCCTCTTCTCCTTGTTTACTACCACATCTGTTTAAAGGAAAACAATGAAAATGTTATATAATAATGTACTAAAAAGGGTCAACTTTTTTTTTGTTATTTGTTCCAACGTACAAAAACACGTGTATTTCTAAAACTAGATAGGCCTGAAATGTCAACAGAAAGAATCATCCTAATTTAGCTATGTTTTTCAGCAATACATCCTATAAAGGACAGAGAGTAAAAGTAGCTAAAATTTCATATTAAAAAGTAGGACAAATGAGGGTAGCCCTTTCAATACTCCACATTACAATGAAAGAGACCTAGGATTCGTTCCCTGGTCCAGTCTATTATTTCTTTATCTAGCACTGGTTTCAACTACTGGAGACACAGGTTTTTTAGTACTTTGTGGGGGTATTATAACAATTTTACAGACTTTTCAGATATTGACTATAAATTCTACATGTGTGCTGACTCTCATCTCCCCTCCAAGGCTAAGAAAAAGGGCCTCAGTCTATTTTGGTGAATTTGGTACTCTGGCATCTAAAGTGAATGTATGTTGAATGGTTGAGATAAGCCTGAAGATCTTCCTTGTATCTGCAGGGAGAATACATTAGATATAATAGGGTTTCAATTCTGCATACAGAGAATAAATTAGGTTCCCTAATTCATAGTGGAATAGTGCATTTAGGAGGTCTCAACTCAGTCTCTGGCCTTAATATAAAGGGTGATATGAAGTCTTGGTATCGCTGGTCCATAAACAGCAGGTGCAGTGGAGAAAGATCAAATCAGAGCCTGGCATGTGATGATTTGGTAGTGTTTCAGAGGTATGTAGTTTAATAAAAAAATTAGGTTAATTTCTTTAAAATTAATTCTGATTAGTTGTTATGGCAGTACAGTATACCTTAAAAACAATCTGTAAATCATGTTTTTCTTTCACATTACTGGTGACTAATGCAACACCCTTGGTGAAAGCTGAAATTTTCCTCTTCGTATTATGTGGTATAAGCTATCACATGTAGATTCTCACATGTGTAAACAGCTCCCTGCAGAATTTCTGTTGTATTAAAAAGTTCTGTGCATAGAGCTACCTATCATGGAATTTTAAACTACTTGCAAGTTTCTTTAACTGGAGCTATCTGTCATATGAAAGTAACTAATTTTTCCAGATTTTCTGCAAAATATATAAGCTTGAACTACACTTCAGATGCTTGCAATTTTGCAATTGCAGGTTGCAGACTTCACACATTTTACAAGATTTGTGAAGAAACCTTAGTGACTATCAAGACTTGCTGAACCTCTCAGGAGTTCAAAATTCATAGTTCCATGCAATAGTTCTCAGCGGGTCTTAATGAATAAAACAAATGTGACTTTTCTTTTGAAGACAGAACTTCACAAAAAAGCATTCGTAAAATGAAAAATCTCTTTTTACAATGTCCTACATTTAAAAATACCATGTCCAATTCAAATTTCAATTTTCGCCACAAAAATTTCTATTGATTAAAATTTCAGAACTTTAAGGAGTGCCAAATTTGAGTCTATAACGGAGTTAAAATTGTAATTATGAACCACAAACATCAAAACACAACTAAAGACTGTGATAACACTTACTTCTTAAGGAAAATGGAAAGGAAGTTTTGTGCTGTTCTCATGGCTGTTTCATATGAGTTAGTAATAAGGACATCTTGATCCACCTAAAAATAATAGCAAAATTCATTTGTTGAATGTACAATATAGGAAAACATGACCCTCCAACCCAGCATTTTCAGTACATCATGTTACTATGCACCACATACACATTAACACTGCTCCATGGGCTGGACCAGTGTCACAGAACAAGTACATATGCACACTCCTGCATGAAATAGTTTCATCTCTCTTTAAAGGGTCTTACTTTTTTGTTTGACTCCTCTTCTGAATTAGAATCCTTCTCCACGGATGGCAGGTGCACAACACACTGAATAAGCTGTAGAACCAGTGCAGTTACCATCTGAATATACATAGGCTCTCCATCAGTATCACTACTGTTTAACCTGTTGGAGAAAACAAACAGTATATCATTATAGTTAAGAGGGACAATACAAAGGACTTTTAACCCTTACTCCTACCTACCTACATTATTAAAACCTGATAAGACAAGTTCTCTGTGTTCTAAATGAGTATCTACAGCTTTACCAACTATTCCACTGTAAAGGGGAAAAACAAAATACAATAAGCACCATTCTTGTGAGATCCATATAAAATTAATGTTATCCTATATAGATTATTGTACAACCCTCATCTCAGTAGTATGTGAGTTGCTTCCAATAGCGCATTAAGCATCTATTATGTGTTTGTACTCAAAATGTTTTGTACTCATTATGCTGACTCCAAAGCAACAGCCTAAATTATTCTCAATCTATGACATTATTAGATAATGAAGGTACATAAGTCATTTTGGCATGATAAAAAATGGTTTCCTACCTCTCGTAAATGATGTTCTTCAAGATGTGTTGCTCATGTCCATTCCAAATAGGTGCGCGCATGCCGTGTGCACAGTCGTCAGAAGGATTTCCCCCTAGTGGTACTCGTTGGGTCGACTGTGGAGCCCCCTGGAGTCACGCTTTCATGGGGGTGTACATAGGTCCCTGCCAACCCGCTATCTCCGGCAGAAGGGAGGCAGGTCTTGGAAAGAACATGAGCAACACATATCAAAAAACAACAGTTACGAGAGGTAGGTAACCGTTTTTCTTCAAGTGCTTGCTCATGTTGATTCCAGGTAGGTGACTCCCAAGCCTTACCTAGCTGTAGGGTCAGAGCTTATGGAATTGCTGATTGTAGCACTGTTCTGCCAAAAGCTGTACCCATTTTGGACTGCTGTGTAATGGTGTAGTGCAATGAAAAGATGTGGATCGACGACCACGTCGCTGCCCTGCAGATGTCTTGGATAGGAACTTGTGCCAGGAATCCTGCTGAGGTTGCTTGCGCTCTTGTGGAGTGTGCCGTCAGCAGTGGAGCAGGTATCTTTGCCAAGTCATAGCACACCTGGATACAAGACATGATCCAAGAAGAGATCCTTTGGGACGAGACTGGAAGTCCCTTCAGACGCTCCACAATTGCAATGACTAGTTGTGTTGATTTTCGAAATGGCTTCGTTCTTTCAATGTAGAAGGCTAATGCTCGTCTGGCATGCAGGGAGTGGAGCATTCATTTCCTGTTGCTAGCATGTGGCTTAGGAAAGAACACAGGAAGAAAAATGTCCTGATTTACATGGAATTGAGAAACTACCTTTGGAAGATAAACCTTTGGAAGCTGGGTGCAGTCACAACTGTACCTTGTCCTTATAGAAGACCATGTACAGGAGCTCTGAGGTTAAGGCCTTAAGCTCTGAAACCCTCCTAACGGAAGGTATAGCTACCAAGAACGCGACTTTCCAGGAAAGGCAGAGGAGGGAGCACTCCTGCACACACCGCTTGTGGGTCAAGCCACCATCTGAAGAACTCGATAACTTCGGGGTGAGTGTGATTAATTTGTCTAGGCGGTCTCGATTCAGCCTGTGCACAGAGGCTAGCCGAGCCTGAAGGGGATGGAGCCGAGGCCTGGAATGCTGTACTACACACGTACAAGCGGCCATATGGTTGAGTAGCTTCAGGCAATTTCCTGCCATAGTGGTGGGGTATCACCTGAGTTCCTCTATGATGGCACCCATGGTGAGAAAGCAAGTTTCTGGAAGGAATGCCCGGCTTGACTCCGCGGAGTCCAAGAGGGCTCCAATTAACTATTCTCTGAGTCAGCGTTAGGGTTGACTTTGCTACATTCAGTATGAGGCCGAGTCTGTGGAATGTCACACGAATTAGGCTTACCTGGAGTTCCACTTGGGCTCTACAGGAGTCTTTGATTGGCCAGTCCTCGAGGTATGAGAATACTTGCACCTGCCATTTCTGCAGGAAGGCTGCTACAACAAATATGCAATTGGTGAACACCCAACAGGCTGCTGAGAGGCCGAAGGGGAGAATCGTAAACTGATAGTGAGTGTTGTTGACCACAAAGTGGAGGAACCATCTTTGGGATAGGATTATGGACACATGAAAATACGCATCCTTCAGATCGAGGGCGGTGTACCAGTCCCCCGGATCCAGGGAGGAGATAACGGAAGCCAGGGAAACTATGCGGAACTTTATCTTCTTTATTAATTTGTTGAGGTTTTGCAGGTCTAGAATAGGTCTGAGCCGACCCTTGGTCTTTCAGATTAGGAAATACTACGAATAGAATCCCCTGCCCTTCAATACTAAAGGGACCTCCTCTACCGCCCCAAGTTGTAGGAGAGTTTGCACTGCCTGCATAAGAAGTTGCTCATGAGAACAGTCCCTGAAGAGGGATGGGGAAGGAAGATGGGAGGGAACAGAATTGGAGAGAATATCCCAATTCTACCGTGCTCAAGACCCATTGGTCTGAGGTGATTTGTGCCCAAGCATGGTAGAAATGGGATAGAGGATTCACAAAGGGAGGGAAAGGATCTGGGATCTGACCTGGTGCATCGCCCCTGGGTGCACCTTCAAAAGTTTGGCTTGATGGCTGGAGACTGCTTTGCTGAGCCCTGGCTCTGGATTAGAGGATGAGAACAGTCTGTTACTCCTGCCCAATTTCCTGTTATAGGAGGAGTTGGGTAGAATCGAGGAGCAGGCTTAAAATGCTTTCTTCAGGGGGCTGGTGTATGAAGCCCCAGGGACTTCAGAGTTGCCCTTGAGTCCTTTAGGCTGTGGGGCTTAGTGTCTGTTTGCTCCGAAAAGAGCTCTATGAAGTCAAATGGCAAGTCCTGAATGGTCTGCTGGACCTCGGACGGGAGTCCGGACACCTGAAGCCATGAGCTCCTTCTCATGGCTATGGTTGTTGCCATGGTATGGGTGGCCAAGTCCGCCGAATCTCAGGAGGCCTGTAAGGAGGTTCTCGCAACGACCTTGCCTTCCTCGAGGACCGCAGCAAACTCCAAGCGGGAGTCCATAGGCGCCGACTCCATGAGGAGTAATTTCAGCCTAAACTCCCTCTCCTTCTTAGTCCTTGGGTAGAAGCTTCTACAGATTTTGCACTTCTCAGTCTGATGGGCTTCCCCCAAACACTTTAAACAGGAGTCGTGTGGGTCTCCCTTTGGGATAGGCTCCAGACAGGATCTACATGGCTTAAACCCTTGAGACCGAGGCATGCACCAGTACCCAGGTGGGGAATCCCCCAACTGAAACTTATCTTACTAACTAAGAACTATTTGAAATACTACTAAGTTTTAAACTATTTACAGATACAACTAGAAAAAGTCCACAACGGGATTGCTTGCCATAGCAAAAAAAGAGCTGCTCCAACGACCGTCACTGGCGGTAAGAAGGAACTGAAGAGGCAGCAGGTCGGCAGGAACCTATATACACCACCATGAAGACACGACTCCAGGGGGCTCCACAGCCATCCAGACAGGTATTGCTAGGGGGAAAACCTTTTGACGACCGTGCATGCAGCGCATGCACACCTACTTGGAATTGACATGAGCAAGCACTCGAAGGAGAATAATAATTTTCGTTTTAGTGTCTTTCTTTTAACCCTCTTAAAGCACTTGATATGTAATAGTATGTAAGGAGTACTACTGTAAGAAAACTAAGCCAATCGTTATATGCCAATGTTCCTTTAAAGAGGAATTTTCACCATCAGGAAAAACTGAAACTATTGTATCTTAATTAAAACTTAAACTCACTTGAAGTAGCAAGGAAAATTACCAGATAATGCTGTTTAATCAAAGATTATTCCCTCTACTCTTCCCTCTTTTTATATGATTATAGCATTTAAATTATAATGCTGAATATGTGACGTTAGCATTTCCTATGACAGAGGTCAAACACAGGATTATGACTTCAGGAGCAATTAGACATATTGGGTGAAAGAGAAAGCTCTTGTATAACACACAGCTGAATTGGCACAGCCACACAAGGGTAATTTAAACCTCTCTAAGATTTAGGGTTGTCTACATGGGGTAGTTTTTGCAGAACATATTTTTGCATTTAATCTTAGGTGGAATAACTCTCAGAAAATAGTGCACCCATGCAACCAGCTTTAACCTACTTCGGTTTGAATAAGTATGTCCACATGGCACTGAGTTTTTTCAAAATAAGCCCATGGTGCATTGTCCTGCTTCTGGGCTCTGTGCATTCTGGGATTATTGTCGTGATATATTGTAGGATACCTACCAGAAACCACTGCAATTCTGAGACTTGGGGGTGAAACTAGCATATTCCCATGATTCATCTGTCTTTTGCAATTTAGTGAAATTCTCAAATTACTGTCATGTGGGGAATACTGCTGTGAATGGTGATCTTGAGTCATAAATATGAAGAGGCTAATGCACTTGCATTTGTGGTCATGCAGCCAGATGACTTTTGAAGTCAGCTGCCAGACTGATTTGGATAGAAGAAAAAGATGAAATTGAGCAGCTACTAAAGGATTAACTTTTCCTGGAGCAGCTTCACCTGGTGGAGTACCATTTCTGGGCCAGGGAAACTAGCACTAACTGGTTGGAAAGGATAGTACTCCAAACCTAGGATGACAGCAGAATTTCTGGATGACAAAGGCTACTTTCTTAGTGATCTGTTCAGAGCTCATGCCAGAGTTCCAGCAGCAGCACACCACTGACAGGTCTCTTCAGCATGGAGAAACATTTGACCATTGCCATTGGACGTTAGCAGTCAGGAGTGGCAATCAGTCAGTGGCTAATCAGTTTGGTGCTGTAGATCAACCATCCGGACTGTTGTCATGGAAGCATGCTCTGCAATAAAGCTTGGCAATGCACAATTTATTGATAGATTTGCAGGGCTGAGGTTCCTAATTTGTACTGGGGCTATTGATGGGACCTCACATACCTATTCTTCCCCCCCTCCAGGACTCAGAGTTCATCAACAGAAAGGAATATTTCTCTATGATGCTCCATGGCCTGTCTGGTCACTGTGGAAGGTTCACCAATATCAATGTAGGGTGGCCTGGAAAGGTCAGTGGTGGCTCAGGCTAGCTTCCCAAGTCCAAGCCCACCCAGTCCCCCAGGTCTGATTTCGAGTGACTAGACCAAGTTGCTATCCATATCATAATATCCACATTGCTTTTTTAGTGAGCTAACTTTAACAGAGCCAGTGCAAGTCTCTCTACCCATGCTGGGAATCACACCTCCCAGCTGCAGTGGAGATGTACGCTTACTGGACACTGGATAACAGAAAGGACCTCTAATTATATCCTGAGTGACAGCAGAACGTGCATTTGAAAGGCTGAGTGGGAGATGGAGGTGCTTTATAACAAGACTGGAAGCTGTTGAGCAATATCTGCCTTGTGTTATTATAACTGGTTTCTTTTATACATCTGTGAGAGAAAGGAAAAGAGCCTCACTGATGAGTACAATAAAGAGGCACAGAGATTTTTGGAATGTTATAAACAGTCAGAGAGGCTGCGTCTCCAAACTGCAGCAGATCACCAGGACCAAAGGGCGATGGATGCCTTTTGCTCCTACTTTGAGACTAGAAGTTTATATGTTGACATGAAATATTATCATTAGATAAGGATTTCTTTAGTCTTTGTATAAGGATTTTATTAAATGCAAGATAATTATGCCTTTTAAAGCTTTGTGCAATGATTTCATGAGGAGGCTTTTATGAAGTTTCTGGCTGTTATGGGATGAACTCATCTGTAGTGCACCCTTTAGTTCCAGGACACAACACTCCAGGGTTTCTTCCACTCTAGGACTCCCTGTAGGCTGTCTGCCTTTGTGCGCTACTCAGCCCTCTGACTGATAAGTGGCTAGTTCAGATTCCTTCTGAGGTAACTAAAGTCACCAATGAATCAACCTATCTTCTGAGCCCTGTGCTCAACCCCTTCCGAGTTCCATTGCCTTTCCTTAGCTCCATTATCAAGCACTGCCCCACTGAGCTTACATCTTCCTAAAGACTCTAATCTTCACAGGAACTTGAATCTTTCACAGGAGCCTGCCTGTCTGAACTCTCTCAGCCTATTTATAAACCTAGGTCTCTCTTAAGGTATCTCCTGATCCTTCTTTAGTCCTGTCCTCTCTGGCTGACAAGTAACTACCTAATTACCACACAGATGAAGTGAATGTGACTAACTGGGCCTAGTACCATCTTCCTAGTCCAAGATGGAGTTCTACCATCACACTAGCATAAGGTTAAATGGCTCCATATAGCCAGCTTCTGAAAAATTTCCTGCTTGAAACTTCTATTTGCATACCTTCACTTAGTCTCACTTATATTTCTAGCTAGGTACCTAATTACATATTTGTGTGTCTATTTGTTACTGTCCCTTTGAAAGTCACAAATAGTCAAAAACCAAGTACAGATATGTGCAACACAAGTAGAGGAAATGCAGATAATTACTATGGACCCAGACTGCTTGTCCTATAATTATTCCACTTTTGTTCCCACTGTAAAAGCTCTTTCAGGAACAGATACATCATATTTATAGAATTATTTGCTTGATCTCATTAAGAAATTAATGCAACTTGTGGAATTGTAGGTTTTTATAACTATCATTAATAAACCATGTAAAATCTAAATCCCTACATTTATATACTGAAAATTATATTCTGTAGAAGTTAGCCATCTGTGTCAAACATTACCTGAAGTTTCTCAAACTTCTTTTGCTGGTTGGTAGTCTTGCAAGTGACGTGAAAATTTCCTCCAGAATCAACTGCCTATGTTTTTCATACCTCGAGAAGACCTGTTAGCAGTTACAGGATTCAAATATATATATATATGTGTGTGTAAAAAAATAACGGTTACGTTTTACAGAAAACCAAAATAGCATATTACCATTTTTTTCAAAACCAACAGCTTTCCATATTTGTATTCATTAAAATATTCACAACTTATTTTTTATATTTTCAAGTGACAGACAGGTATCTGAGTAACATACTATTTTTTCAATACATGGGAGCGGGCAGTTCAGCTTAGCTATTCTTTTGTTTAGGCAGACTTTGATTTTAAAAACATTGAACATATTGCCTCTGCAAAGGTTGAAGATATAGTATGAAACAAACTTTCTTCTTAAAGCTTTCTGAGAGGGTTTTTCTGTTTTCATAATATAACGGTCCTTAAAATTTTATTTTTCTGTGAATCACTTTGCAACACGGATTCCCCTCCACCCACATTTTCCAAAGAAAACCATTTCACATGTACTTTTTATCTGGATAATTGCTATTCCTAGCTTTGAATCTTATACCAATGCACAGCTCCAGAAACTATGGTGATGGGGAAAAAAATCAAATAAACCTGGAAAATACATTAAGGAAAAGTATATTGCTAAGGTTCCTTTGAGAAGAGGACAGGAGACAGTGAGGGGTTTTTTAATATTATTATTAAAAACTAAAAAGTGTACCACTTAAGAAAAAAGCAGGGATAGAGCTTTGATTTTTATTCTGTGATCATATTATATGAGCATGCTTGATTGCTGAGAAAGCCAAAAGAGCTCCTGTACGATAGAAAGCACAGCTCTTAGGAAGTCAAACTGTGGTTTGTAACTAGCACAAAAATTAACTTTGCAGTATAGTCTAATTATTCTAATCTATATGAGTTAGAATTCATCTGTGTCCAAACTGTGACCATGGCTGTCAAAGAAATGGTGAAAAATATAGAGATGGAATATGTATTTTTATCTCACGACATGAATTTACTGTGGGTACAAGATTTTACAAGAAGGATCAGGTCATTAACCAGAAATGTGGGGAAAAAAATCCTAGTTTTCCAAGATTGCTATTCTATCTATGTAAAATTCAAGGTAGCTCAAAAGCAGAGTGGTAGCCATCTTTAAATTTCTTTGCTTTTGCTAATTTAAGTTAAGAGTATTAGGCTTATAAAATACATACTGAAAATAAAGTTATTTTATTAAAATACATTTATTTTTAATGGAAAATATTATTGATACTGTTCAGTCTAAATACAGACTCTACAACCTACAAAGTAAACTGCACGGAGGGTTGGCAAAGATAACTAAGGATTTGTTTACATACCGTGGAATAGGTAATCCAGTGGATTAAGATAAATCGCTAAAGGTGATATAGTGCAGAATACCAGAGTTCACATGGAGAGTTATTGTGAAAAACTATTGTGCTTTAAGTTTCACAATAGCTTCCCTGTGTAGACAAGCCCTATCGTCATTATGTTGGAGAAAGGGAAACAACAGAGAGCAAGGTCTGAAAAAAAATGGGTTTTCCAAGTTCATACAAACATTCACGTGATTTAATTTAAATCTAAAAAGTGAAAAAAAACCAGCTAGGCAAATAAAATTGGATGCATGATTTTTTCTGCTGGGTTGACCTTGCTTCAACTTTGTGTGTTTGGAATGAGGTAAGAGTCACAATCCAGCCAGAACTATAGTTTTAAGTCCAGTTCTATTCTGAAATATCACTACAAAAATGGTACATTTTTATCAACAGATCTACATCTGTATATTCAGTTACTTCTGATTACATTAAAATATCAGTATACAATAGTGAGATGAAGATGTCATAGGTTTTTCTGTTGTAAATTCAAGGACAAAATAAAAAAAGAGAAAAACAACATACAGGGTTTGGTGTGAACATAGTGTAGGAAGTTCTACTTATTTGGGATAATTCTCTTAAGAACTCTAAGTATAAAATTATTTGAATACAATAATTGGGGAGGGCAAAATTGTTTACAATCTTTTTAGTTATAATATTGTATATCTGAAGTTTTCTTTTAATTATTTGGTTTTAGTGGGAATGTCCCATTGTCATAAACTAATCTACAAACCAAAGAGGATCAAGTAAATTAAATTATGTTCCTCCATCGTGATGTCAAAAATATACAATATGCAGAATAAAATGAGTTCAAAATTCAAATTCTTTACTAGAATGGAAAAAATGTGCACTGGTGGGAAGATGAAATGGATGAACTAATGTCTCTTTCCATGTGTATGTTTTATGTTAAAACAGCAATATCACTAAATCCTTAAGCTTGTTCATAGGTTAAAAAAGTACTCACTGCAGTCACTAGTTTGATGGCGCATAACTGGAGCTCACTGACATTTTCTACAAAAAAAGGTGTTATTCCCATTGAGGATACCTGTCAAAAGGAGGAAATGACAGTAAATACATACTCTTTCCACTAAAGTGATATGTAAGCTCTTTGACATAACAGAGCATAATTAAATACATTCACTGCTTCACAGGTACATCTTGTTTGCTATTTGTAAAATGATGTTACATTTTTAATCTTAATTTTATAATGAATCCACTAAAGACGTGCAGTCTAAATATTACATGTATCTTTCTCTGTTTAGATAACTCCTTTTTAATAGTGTTATTAAAATATTAAACATTTTTTAAAAATTACACATTTTAAGATCACTAGCAAGACAGTTAAAATAATAAAGTTACAATACTATGACTATAGAAGTCATTTTGAAAATTTCCTCATCCACGGAACTAGACTGTATTTGGTTTACATTTAATGTTATTGCCAAGGTAGTCAAACTTCAGAATTGCTTTGGAAAAAAAATACACTCTCAAATGGAAATTCTTTTGATGAAACTTGCCTGAAGAATAGTTGTGTCAGTAAGGAGCTGAATCTCTAGCAATTCTGCCAAACTGCTAACAATGTCACATACTTTGTTATACAGCATCACTATGACCCTCTGCTTGTGGGTGGAACATTTGGCACGCTTTGCTTTTGAACTTAAAACACCTCCTAGAAAATAAAATAAAATGATGCCTTTCAATTACATTTGATCCAACATTAAGAACAAGACGATTTTTTCAACAACAGCAGCAACAACAAAAAGGACTTTATAATTTTTGTTAGCACAAAATGCTGATAGAAAAGTAATCTCTTTTTAATAGCACTAATTTGGAAAAACAAGATTTGTTATTGCAGACCATTTTTTAATAAATTTTGTGGATTGTTGGGCCAAGGTTTTCAATATGGTACTTACAGTTAGTCTCCTAGATTCATATATTATTAGAGCTGGTTGGGAATTTTTGACCAGAATGAATTTCTTATAGAAAACTCCCTTTTCACAAAATTTCACAAAATTTACCACACAAAAATTTGAATTTTAACCAAAAAATTTTTATTGCCGGCTGGAAAAATTGAAATTATGGCTCCTTGGCTGCCTGCCTTGAAGGGTTTTATCAATTTCATTTTCTGAAGTGAAATTCATAAAAGCCTTTCGGGAGGACTGCCAAAACTGAATGCTCTCTATTTCTGCCTCCCCAACTATAAGTCTCCCCGCTATACCCCAGTTCCAGCTGCCAGAAAGGCAGAGAGCTGGGCTCTCAATCCTCCCACCCACCTAGTTCCTGGGAGGCAGAGAGCCAGGGCGCTCAGCCTTACCACTTCTCCCGCAGCATAGGGACCGGTGAGGCTGAGCACACCAGCTATCTTAAGCAAAGTAAGCAGTCATGGGATAAGAGGGAAGGTCCTCTCATGGATCACTAATCGGCTAAAAGGTAGGAAATAAAGGGTAGGAATAAATGGTCAGTTTTCAGAATGGAGAGAGAATACTGGGACCACCACTATTCAACATATTCATAATTTATCTGGAAAAAGGGATAAACAGTGAGGTGGAAAATTTGAAGATGAACTATCTTGAGTAGTTTTGTATAAGTCTAAAGCAGACTGCAAAGAGTTACAAAGGGATCTCACAAAACTGGGTGACTGGGCAACAAAATGGCAGATGAAATTCAAAGCAATGCACATTGGAAAACATAATGCCAACTTCATATAAAATGAAGGGGTCTAAATTAGCTGCTACCAATCGAGAAAGAGATCTTGGAGTCATTGTGAATAGTTCTCTGAAAACATCCACTCAATGTGCAGTGGCAGTCAAAAAAGCAAACAGAATGCTGGGAATCATTAGGAAAGGGATAAATAAGAAGACAGAAAATATCATATTGCCTCTGTTTAAATCTATGGTACACCCACATCTTGAATATTGTGTGCGGATGTGGTTGCCTCATCTCAAAAAAGATATTCTGGAATTGGAAAAGGTTCAGAAAAGGGCAACAAAAATTATTAGGGATATGGAACAGCTTCCATGTGAGGAGAGATAAATAAGATTGAGATTTTTCAGTTTAGAAAAGAGACAACTAAGGGGGGATATGACAGAGGTCTATAAAGTCAGGACAGGTGTAGAGAAAGTAAATAAAGAAGTGTTATTTACTACTTCTCATAACACAAGAGCTAGGGGCCATCAAATGAAATTAATAGGCTGCAGTTTTAAAACAGACAAAAGGAAGTATTTCTTCACACAACGCACAGTCAACCTGTGTAACTCTTTGCCAGAGGATGTTGTGAAGGCCAAGACTATAACAGGGTTCAAAAAAGAACTAGATAAATTAATGGAGGATTGGTCCATCAATGGCTATTAACCAGGATAGGCAGGGATGGCGTCCCTAGCCTCTGTTTGCCGGAAGCTGGGAATGGGCGACGGGATGGATGTCTTGATGATTACCTGTTCTGTTCATTCCCTCGGAAGCATCTGGCATTGGCCACTATCAGAAGACAGGATACTGGGCTAGGTGGATCTTTGGTCTGACCCACTATGGCCATTCTTATGTTATCTATTTCTTTGGCTCCCAAAACTGTGGAGGAAGGTGTGGAGGCTGAGCAGCCAGGCTCTTTGCTTCATAGGAAGTTTAAGTGAGGGGTAGGGAATGAGGCAGATGGATAGGCTCAGTGCCCCAGCTCTCTGCCTCTCCAGTAGCACAGTTGGAAAGCTCTCCTGAAACAGCATTTTTCTTGAAATACATTCCCCTGAAAAAAATTTCATTTTTGACTTTTTGTCCCCGTTCAGGACAATTTTTTTTTTTGTTTGTTTTTCAAAAAATGCAAAAAAAAATTTGCATGAAGGGATTTCCATTTTCTGGCCACCTCTTATATCATGTACGTCAACAAACAGTTGGATTTCAAAAGTACTGACCATTAAGTGGCTCCTGATAATTGAAATAAATGGAAGCTGCTGGGTATTCAGGGACCATGAACACCAGACCACTTATTTAGGCACATAATATATGAATGTAAAAGTCTCATTTAAGGCACCAACTTCTAGTTAGTTAGGTCTTGCCACTGAAGTATGTATGGATCTTTCATGTCACACACTGTTTCGTTCAGAGGAGGATGGGTTTCATTTCCCCTGTCATTTTGGGCTACAATTTACCATTGTAAATGGCTTTTTTGCAGGGCCAGCTCCAGGCACCGGCTTCTCAAGCAGGTGCTTGGGGCGGCCGCTCCGGAGAGGGGCGGCACGTCCAGGTATTCGGCGGCAATTCGGTGGACGGTCCCTCACTCCGCCTGGGAGCGAAGGACCTCCCATCGAATTGCCGCCGCAGATCGTGATCGCGGCTTTTTTTTGGTTTGTTTGTTTTTTGTTTTGGCTGCTTGGGGCGGCCAAAACCCTGGAGCCAGCCCCGCTTTTTTGTCAAAATCATATGAAGCATTCAGTCATTCTTCTTTATTTAGAGGACACTGGAAACGGGTGTCTCAAGATTAAGTCTTGAATGTAGTGAATTGCATAACAGTATCAAAGGATGTCAAGTTGTTTGCACATCACACTTAACAGAACTGGTCACGTTTAAAATCATATGCAGCACATTATCTTACATGCAATCTCATTTATTTATTAACATACTAACCACCATGAGGATCCACTCTGTAGACAGGATCATACTGAGGATAAAGGGTATTCTGCAAATGAAATTTAGTGTACTGAATGACTCTTTCTATTACATCCTCAATATACACAGCTTTAGGCATATTGGGTGATGTCATAATGTTGATAGCGGTAAGACAGGCATCTGCAGACTTTGTGACTCTCTCCATAATCAGATCTCTCCACAATCTTTCCTCATCTTCAGTGTCATTATTCTACAAGGAAAAACAGAAAGTTATATACATTTTCTAAAAAATGTGCATTAAGACAAAATTAATTCTGAGTTTTCAAAAATACATATTATATTTCTGTATATTACAGGTTATCCCTGCTGAATAATATATACTGCAAAAGATGATTATTTTATAAATATATATACTAAAATATTATATGACATTTATAATCCTATAAATGTAAAATGTATTTTGTTAACTGGCAAGTAGAAATTTTTTTGACAATATCTCCCTAAACCAGAATGAGATATTAAGGACATGTAATCACCTAGAGGCACACAGAAAATGTTAATTACCCATTAAAAATATAACCTAACAGAAATTTCTACATTCATCAATAAAGTCTAAATTACTTAAAGCAAAGTTTCTATTAATTGATCTAATAATTCTTTATTATTTTTAGATGTACAGTACAATGTTGTGTTTTGTGAGGATGAATACATTAAAGACAATGATGCACTTTGAGACTGACTGATGAAAACTGCTGTATCAAATCTAGGTGTTATTTTTATATCCCCTGTGATTAGGCTCAACAGAATCTGATTTTTTTTTAAATCATTTGATAATATCAATGTTTATTTTTAAGCATATTTTTCAATTTTTATTGATTTAAATGTTCACAATTGTGCAAAATTATGGATTTTAAGCATTTTTTTTACTTTTAGCTATATAAATTTTCATAGTTGCAGGAAATTATGTGAGTTGTCAGACAATTATTATTTAATGACAGTAGACACAGATTCAGAAATTAAAGCTTAATAATCATTAAAACACAAACCATCAACATCACCTGTCAAAATATACTAAGTAAACATCCTTAAGTCAAATTCTCATAAATTCAGCATTGTTCTTATTGTCTGTAATGTCAATTTCCATTGAAGGAAATACTTTTTCATTAGTTTGTGTCTGTGCAGTGAAATCTGTTTACCAACATTTAATAATAAAAAGCTAATCTTTCCAAGCCTACCTATCATTGCTACTTTGACCAGATTCACTTTCTACCATTATATGTAACTCTAGTGCAGAAAGACTTTTATAAACCATGTGGAAATCATGAGGATTTTCCTGATCCCTTTTTTCTTTCCATGCTCCCTAAAGTCTCAAGATTCCCCTTATCAGTCATCATCGTGTTGACCTGTTACACCCAAATTGAGCATTCCCGGTCTTCCGCATTCAGCCTTGCAGCATCCATGCTGTCAAGTGCAACGCTTCTAGGTTCGGGTGCAGGAGACTGCCATGGTCCTACGACAGCAGGTCTTGTCAGAGAGCGCCGCAGCTTCCGAAAGGTCCAGCAGCGTGCCGAACTAGTACTTACAAGGCCACTCGGGGACAATCAGGGTAACCTTCACCCTGTCCTGTCTGATATTCATGAGGACTCTGTGGATCCACAGCACTGGCAGGAAGGCGTACATCAGGACTCCCGACCACAGAAGCAGGAAAGCCTCTGACAGGGACCCACTGTCCATCCTCTGGAGCAAACATCTGGCATTTCCTGTTCTGGTGGGACGTGAACAAGTCCACCTGGAGAGTCCCCAACTTTCGGAAGATCATACTGGCTGCCTCTGGATGGAACGACCACTCATGGCGAGACGAGAAGGACTTGCTGAGGCGATCTGCTAGCACATTCTTGGTCCCGGGCAGGTGCATGCTTACCAGACAAATGGCATGCTGCACACAAAAGTCCCAAAGGCTGAGAGCTTCTTGGCAAAGAGCTGATGACCTGGCTCTGTCCTGCCTGTTGGTGTAATACATCTCGGTGGTATTGTCCGTGAGGACCTGCACCACCTTGCCCCTCAGGTGGGACAAGAACGCCTGGCAGGCCAGGCAAACTGCTGACACTGATGTAAAGGGCCAGATCGTCCTGCAGCCAGTGGACTTAAGTGCTGAGCTCACTCAGGTGGGCTCCCCAGCCCAGGTCCGAAGCATCTGAGATGAGGGTCAGTGACAAAGACGGGGCTGCAAAAGGAACACCTTCCAACACCGACTCAGGTTCAATCACCACTCCAGGGATGACAGGATGTGATCCAGTGCCCTGACTATCCAGTCTAGATAGTGTCTGTTGGGGATTTAAAGCGACGCCAGCCATGCTTGCAGAGGTTGGGGGCAGAGCCGGGCATGACTGATCACGTATGTACAAGTGGCCATGTGGCCCAGCAACTGCAGGCAGGTGCAAGCCATGGTGAGCGGCTGGTTTTTCACATGGGAGATCAGGTCCGACATGGCCTGAAAATGCACCTCCAAAAGGAAGGCTCTGACTTGCATGGAGTCAAGAACCGTCCCTATGAACGCTATGCGTTGGACTAGCCTTAAAGTGGATTTTTTCTCGTTTATTAACAGGCTCAGGTCACGGCAGGTGGAACGCACCCGATCGAGGCTTCTCTGCACTCGTTCCCGAGACCTGCCCTTGATGAGCAATCATCAAGATATGGGAAGACCTGGACCCCTTGATGTCTGAGGTAAGCAGCCATTAGTGCCATACATCTCGAGAAGACCCTTGGAGCCAACGAGAGGCCAAAGAGGAGTGTTGTAAATTGGAAATGGTGCTCACCCACTATAAAACAGAGGAAATGTCTGTGACCCTGGAATATGGAGATATGGAAATAGGTGTCCTTCAAGTCGAGGGCAGCGTACCAGTCTCTTGGATCCAGGGAGGGGATGATGGAGGCCAGGGAGACCATGCAAAACTTCAACATTTTGAGAGGCTTGTTCAGGTGTCCCCAGTCCAAAATGGGTCTGAGGCCCGACTTTGCTTTCAGGATTAGGAAATAACAAAAGTAGAAACCTTTCCCTGTCATGTCCTGACGGACCTCCTCCACCATCCCCAAGCACAGGAGGTTTTCGACCTCTTAAACCAGGAGTTGCCCGTGAGAAGGGTCCCTGAAGATCGATGGGTGGGAGGGACGGGGCGGCTGAAAACTGCAGGGTGTAACCTTGAGACACTATGTCCAACTCCCAACAGTCTGAGGTGACTTGGAACCAGGCCGAACAGAAGGGATGAAGACGGTTGAGGAAAGAGCAGGGTGGATCCTGGGAGGTGACTGGGGAGTCACTCTCGACTGCATCCTCAAAACGAGCATTTCTAGCCCCCGGGGTGTTTTGCCAGGCCTGGCTGTGCAGGTGAGTGGGAGGAGGAAGGGCGACAGTGGCTGAAACTAACGTCTCTGTCCCTTCTCCTTGCAGACCCTGGATGAGACTGCCTAGGCTTAGGCAGCAGGGGTGACCGGAACTGCTTTCTCGCAGGCTGAAGTGTATGCATGCCCAGCGAGTGAAGGGTGGTCCTGGTGTCCTTTAAGCCCATGCAGCCTCACATCCGTCTGGTCTGAAAAAAGACCATTCCCCTCAAATGAGAGGTCCTAGATGGAGGTCTGCATTTCTTGTGAGAGTCCGGTGATCTGAAGCCAGGAGCTGCGCCTCATTACCACTACATCCCATGCCATCTGGAGGGAGCACCTGGCAGTCGCAGTGCCCTCCTCCATCAGGGTGCCAAATTCTTGGGAGAAACCCTGTGGCAGGGACTCCTTGAACTTATGGAGGGAGTCCCATAAGTTAAAATTGTATCAGCCCAAGAGGGCCTGATGGTTTGCCACCTAGAACTGCAAACTGGCTGTTGAATACTTTTTTTTTTCTCCAAACAGATCCAACCATTTCGCCTCTGTCTCTTTCATTGGCCACAGAAACCACAAGCGAGCCCGGGGGAGGGTGGGTGTAGAGGTATTCAAACCCCTCGGCCAGAACAAAGTATTTATTTTTGGCCCTTTTTGAGGTGGGAGGAATGGAGGAAAGAGTTTGCCAGAGGCCCTTGGCAAGACACCATCATACACTGGTAGTGCAACATGGGTTGGGGTACAGGATGATAGGACATTAAAAAAGGTGTCTGCCTGCCCAGACATTTCCTCACCTCCACGTCCAATTTCTCGGCCACCCGACGAAGCAGGGCCTTGTGTTCTTTAAAATCGTCCGGCGGGCTGGCCCTCAAGGGTCCCACAACTGCCTCATCTGGGGACAAAGACGATAACTGCCCCGAGTGCGCCTCATGCACCGAGCCTGGTGCCATCAGCTGTTGCTCCGAGGCAGTGGCCAATGAGTGGTGTGAAGGGAGCATTGCCATAACCGGCACTCTCCATGCGCTCCAATAAGGCCAATGTACTGGCCACTGGCCGTGTTGTGAAGTCGGCACTGTCAACACGGCTTCTGGTGCCCATTCGCTCCAGTGCTGTCTAGGTGAGGGGCTAAACTGAACTTCCGTGCTGGAGGAATCCTCTTTCAGTGACTCCGGTGGGACCGTGGATGCCTGGGTTTGTTTGCTGACCGTTGCCATCGGAGACTGGTGCCGGTGCAGGGGGAACAGAAATGCGATGGGGAACGCTCCCATGAGGAGGTGACCGGGACCTGTGCCAAGAGGATGACTGGCAGGAGGGCGAATGGCACTGGTTGTACTGGGACCAGTGTCTTCCTCTAGGCAATTAGTGTCAAGATGGCGGAGGCTGTGAACGCAGTGCGGTGACTGAGGGCGAGCCACAGAGGGTCTGTGCTGTGACTCTAGCGATACGCGGTACGGAGGTGGAGAGCGCTGCTTTGTCTTGAGAGATCAGCGGCACTCCACTGCCCCGAGGGGTTTTAGCGGCTGGCTTGCCCTTGTGGGGATTTGCCGGATCCTGAGGCATGTGCTGCTTCAGTAGTGCGGGCAGAGGCTTGTGCTCTCTCGGCGCTGGGGGAGCTTGTGAAGGTGTTGGTGCCATCAGGGGTTTATGTCCCATACTGCTCCCAGGAGTCAGTAGTGGACCTTTCACAGGAGTAAGGAACCGACTGGGGAGGTCTGAGCGCATGGCTCCGGAGTGGCTGAGCGGCCTGAAGTGGGTCCCTTGCCCAAAGACCCATGGCTCTTTTTGCCTGGTGCCAGGGAGCCATGGTTTTTGGTCTTCTTTTTGGGAACCGGCGATGGGGAATGCTGCCGGGTGGAGCCCGGTGCGCACTGCGCACCGAGGCTGAGGTACTTGGTGAGTCCTGGCAGGGCTGCACAGAGGCTGGACGCAGGGCAACTCCATGAGGAGAGCCTGTAACTGAATATCCAGCGGGGCTGAAAGTTTTTACAAATTCGGCACTTATCTCTAATGTGTGATTCCCCCAAGTACTTGAGGCAGTTGCTATGGGGGTCAATTACAGGCATAGGCCTGTTTCAGTCTGTGCAGGGCTTAAACCCGGGAGACCTGGGCATCCCCACCTGGGCGAAGTCGTCTAATTATACTTAGCAACTACTTAACACTAACTACTATAAACAAACTACTTACAAGGCCCTAAGGCTCGAAGTCAGTAGATGAAAAACCGCTAGCCCAGGGGTAGGCAACCTATGGCACGTGTGCCGAAGGCGGCACGGAAGCTGATTTTCAGTGGCACTCACACTGCCTGGGTCCTGGCCACCAGTACAGGGGCTCTGCATTTTAATTTAATTTTAAATGAAGCTACTTAAACATTTTAAAAACCTCATTTACTTTACATACAACAATAGTGTAGTTATATATTATAGACTTATAGAAAGAGACCTTCTAAAAACATTAAAATGTATTACTGGCACGCGAAACGGTAAATTAGAGTGAATAAATGAAGACTCGGCACACCACTTCTGAAAGGTTGCCGACCCCTGCGCTAGCCCTTGCAATGCAAGGAAAGGTGCTCTGACTAACCACCACAGGTGGTAAGAAAGAACTGAGAGGGCATAGGGTCAGCAGCGCCTGGTATACCAGCACATGAGCATGGCACTCAAGGGGCTGCCCCTGCCTGCCCTATGGATACCACTAATGCAAAAATCTCCAACTACTGCACACGTGGGCACGCACACACCTAGAATGGAATTGACATGAGAAAACACTCCAAGAAGAACAGTATTTCCTTTCTCCCAGCTTTTGAACCTACCCAAAGCCCTAGGCATTTTCTCTTCTGACTTGTCTATTTAGATTCAGTTAAGGGCAGGAGCACTCTCTTCTGGGTATTTACAGCATATAGCATAACAAAGGCATAATCTCTATGGGGCTCACTAACCATTACTAAAATACAACTAATATTATCAATAGTAAAACCAGTGGGAATTTTTTCCTAACATTCTCTAGCATAGATATGGTCTTAGTGAGAGACTGACTAGGGAAATAAACTCTGGGCCACATATAGGGTAGTGCAGCACAGCATTGCTAAGTTGTTTCCAAAATCTTATATTTTGAGATAAATTTTTGTAACATTTTAGCATTGAGTATATTTCATAATGGAGTTGCAGATTCAGTATTTTGAGTATACCTGAGGGGTATATTTGAAAATGTAAAGGAGACCCGCAAAGATTTGTTAGAAAAATTGGGCTTTCCTTCTTTATAATCCTTTTCTGCTTTATAGTGTATAAAGAAAGACCTGAAAGGTGATTTTTAAAATTTATTTAAAATTTCTTCCCTGCTTCCTTTTTAATTCAACTTAAGTATCAGGAACGTCAAGTCTACTCTTCTCTGGTTTTTCTAATGAACCCCTCAGAGATATCAGGAACCTTAATGTGAATACTAAACGCTTTAAGAGAAAGAGTGATTAGTCATTCAAGTTAATTTGCATTAATAAAAATATAAAAACTCAAATTTTTCAACTAAAAATCCCTTGCCCTCTCAATTGCTCATCTTTCAATCTCTGGGCTCTCATGATGTTACCATATCACTAGCTCTTCAGTTATCATGAAGGTAAGATTGGGCCTGAGTTTATTGGAACAAGCCACGCAGAAAACAAACTTTAAAAAAAACAACAACAACAAAAATTCAGTCCTTTCTTCATACATAGTAAGAAAAAGTAGAAAAGGGAACAAGCAGTCTATTTTCTCCTCCACTTTGCAGGTCACTTTTAAAGACATTTTGGAACTGTGTACTGAAACATGAAGAAATCACCACCTATCTAAAAGAAAACTAAAATATTCTGATACATTTAATATGTTCATTTTTTTCTCAAGTGCAAATGCCTCCAATCCAAAGGCACATATATTAACTTTGGTCTATTACCATTTTCCTCAGGCCTGGTCTAGCTATACTTAAAAGTTTTGCCAAGATAGCCATGTTGAATAGGAGCGTGTGGGGGAAAAACACTCTTAACCAACATACGCTGGAAAAGTCCCAGGTTATTTCATTCAGGGAATTGATATAAGCTACACCAGCAGAATAACTCTTTTGCTGATATAAGCTGCATCTCCATTAGGCGAGTTTGCTGGTATAGCTATAGAAGAGTGACTATCTGCTTCAGACAGGTGTAACTCTCCTGCCCATAACAAATGTTAACAAATTCTGAGAAGGGGTAATCACAGAAGAGCCAATTTATTTTAAAAAGATGCCTGAACATTGGTACACTTCTATTAATTTTCCAAAAGAACCGAGGCTACCTTTTTGGTACATTGTTATATTATATATATATATATATATATGTGTTATGTGATAGAAACAGTTAATAGCTAAAGTATTAATATTTTAGTTTAGATATACAAAAACTATGACATTTTGCTACCTTGTCACAAAAATTAAATCTATTGAAAAAAGGAAAAATAAATAATTACAAGACATTTATGAACTAAACCGCCTCTAGAAAATAAGAATGGCCATACTGGGTCAGACAAAAGGTCCATCTAGCCCAGTATCCTGTCTTCTGACAGTGGCCAATGCCAGATGCTTCAGAGGAAATGAACAGAACAGGTAATCATCAAGTGATCCTGTTACCCATTCCCAGCTTCTGGCAAACAGAGGCTAGGGACACCATCCCCGTCCATCCTGGCTAAAAGCCATTCATGGATCTATCCTCCATGAACTGATCTAGTTCTTTTTTTTAACCCTGTTATAGTCTTGGCCTTCACAACATCCTCTGGCAAGGAGTTACACAGGTTGACCGTGCATTGTGTGAAAAAATACTTCCTTTTGTTTGTTTTAAATCTGCTGCCTCTTAATTTCATTTGGTGGCCCCTAGTTCTTGTGTTATGAGAAGGAGTAAATAACATATCCTTATTTACTTTCTCCGCACCAGTCATTTTATAGATCTCTCTCATATCCTCTCTTAGTCATCTCTTTTCCAATCTGAAAAGTCCCAGTCTTATTAATCTCTCCTCATATAGCAGCTGTTCCATACCCTTGATCATTCTTGTTGCCCCTTTCTGAACCTTTTCCAATTCCAATACATCTTTTCTGAGATGAGGTAACCACATCGGCATGCAGTATTCAAGATGTGGATGTACCATGAGTTTATATAGAGGCAATATGACATTTTCTGTCTTATTATCGATTCCTTTCTTAATGATTCCCAACATCCTGTTCACTTTTTTGATTGCCGCTGCACATTGAACGGATGTTTTCAGAGACCTATCAACAATCACTCCAAGATCTCTTTCTTGAGTGCTAACAGCTAATTTAGACTCCATCATTTTATATGTATAGTTGGGATTATGTTTTCCAATATGCATTAGAACATCTATCTAGAGATAGATATTCTAAAAGATCCTACGAAGAACTTTGAAAAATGCCCTGAAATCATGAATAATGTTTGGGGCGTTGGTTATAACCTTCACTCAATCCTTCATGTAATTATGCAGGTGCTTAACTTTAAGCATGCGAGTAGATCCATCAAGGTCAAATTAAAATGCTTCCTCTCAATTCTGAATGGTGAGAATCTGCTTTAGAGAAAAGCTCAGTTTTTTTCTATGGTATATGTGAAGTTTAATGGGCAGGTACTAAAGAAAGTTATGCTGGCTGCAAGTTTGCCAATTGCCAATGAAAATCAGAGAATGACACTAATGTGTTAAATTATATTTTTCAAAACAGAACACAACCAATCTGCTCTATTTTTAAATGGTTAGTATTTTACAACGAGGAGAACACTGTAGAAACAATATAATTAGGCAAGTATTGACTAATACCTGTTGCGTTGCTTAAGGAATTATAGTAATTTGCACACACTAAAATTTCACACCATATTATAATGTGAGCTAAATTAGAAATCCTTTACAGTTAAAAACAAAATTATTTTGGAAATATTACCACTGAGATTAAAATCAAAGTGCATATTTTAATCAAATATAGCGATGCCAACAACTATGCTCTGAAACTCACATGGTTTAGTAATGTAGAAAGCTTCGAGCCATCTTGAATATTCTTCTCCAAGATGTTCAGGACTTTCACTGTTTTATCTGTTGAAAGCTAAAATAAAAATACATGTATCAAAATAGCAGAAAGAGTATAAACAAGTGGTTAAAAACAAATGTGTGCATGGAAAACAGGTCATACTGTGTAATTCTGTTGTAAACATTAGATTGTAAATACTTGGGGTAGGATCTTAATTTGTGTTTGTACAATCTCTAGCACAGTGAGGCCATGATCATGCCTGAGCATTCTGATCATATAATAAAACTAAATATGAAGTTATAGTAATAATGGTGATGTCTGTGTAGAAATTAAAAACAAACAACAACATTCCATTAGTCTTCTGTTTGTTTTGTTTTTTACAACACAAGGGGATTAGCAGTAGTTTCTAGTGGTTTGTCACTTGAATTTTACAATATAAAAATCTTGAATAAACCACAGTATGAAGTCAGTTTTCATGTTGCAATCAATTTTATAAGATGAATTCACTGAATTTTTCTCATCAAAATGTAATTTTAGAGATTTAGGTTAAATTCTTTATCATTAATTAGAACACTTTCCACAAAAACTGTTCACCCAGATTACACTTCAAACTAGAAAAATGTATGGGAATATGTTTAATTATGTATATCTGCCACTGCTATCTTCCCCAGTGCCAGGAATCAGAATTTGCCAAAACAAACCACTAATGATGAACCTTAGTTGGCTAGAGAAAGTTTTGTTTTTAATTTATTCTAAAGTTTATGGACAAGCACAAAACAATTTCAACACTGTTTTGGAACTGCTGCATATATATTTTATTCTCACAGGGGGACTGTGCTGAAAATAAAATAGTTCTACATGACCTACTCATGTTCTACAAAATTAAGACCAAGAAATGAGTGGAGCTTGCTGGCCCCTTTAATAATGGGAGCCACTAGCCCAGGTCTTACTGGAACTCAGTCCTTTAAGGCCACTGGTTTCTGGGAGATGTAGACCTCAAGTGACTGAGGGACCATGACTCACGTGATATACAACCACTTTGTAAAAGAGCTGTTTGTGCTCAGTATGATGTAGACCCTGGCAAGAACTCCAGTCAGTAGAAGCTGAGTCTAAAGAGACTTGTAGGGAGCAAGGGCTAATATCTGGGAAGGAGATGCACCCAGCCCAGGAAGAGGAGTGAGAACACTCGTGGATAAGGCCAGAAAGGAGGTCTAGAGCTGGGGCTATCGAAAACTAAGGAAGAGGTTCGTATACTAAGGAATCCAGAAGTCTTCATAAGAAGTGGCCCTGGAAACCCAGAGTGAGGATAGTAGTGAGGTTGAGAACATAGAGCCTATAGTATAGAATCGCAGGGTTGGAAACCCATACTACGAAGAGAGTATTAATCTTAGCGAGATGATACCAATAACCTGCTTCAACAGGATAAACCCCAAAATTGAAGCCCAGGAGGGTATAAAAAGAAAGACATAGCCTGTTGAGGGCACAGATATTGTTTAGCCTAGGGAAGGGAACCCTGCATTAACAGGGACGTACGGCTACTGGGCCTGGGGGAAAGGAAATCCAGTGAGATGCCTGGGAAAAAGACTGCTGTTGTACTCTGGAAAGGGTGGACTTTGTGACATCACCCTCTAGCTACATCATCTCAGTGAAACGAAGCACCGAGGACCAGTCGCTGAAAGGAGGGAAACTGAGGTAAGCACATAACAGGAAGAAGTAAGAACACGGTTACAGAGGGGAAATGTATTTTATACATTTAACGCTGAAATGTTATGTACATTTGCATTTTTAAGATCATGACATACCTTGTCCATAATGCCCATTGCCTTAATTTTTGCAGATTCACTACCCAACTCACTAAGCTGATGTTTTCCCAAAAGCAACTCCTGTGGAATCTCATCATCATCACCTTTAAAAAAAAAAAAAAGAGTTTACATCCATTCCAATTAGGCTGCTTATTCTGATGCACAAATATGGATTTAGAAGCCTAAATTCAAGCACCCATTTCTGAAAATCCTTGGCCAAAGTATTTTAATATGTCCAGCTAAACAAGCAGTTCATTTAACCAATTAGAGAATCCCTTTGCCTCAAAAAATCAAAAAGAAAAATGGGTGTCATTCTACAATTAAACATTTTTGCACTATCAATGGATTAAAAATGTATATAACATCGCTGAATGTTTTATAAAATATCAATAATAATTTTCCCAACCCATATGAATTTAAGATTTCAAAACCATTTTTCCATTCCAAATTGTGACCCGATAACCCATCCTCTGCCCCCGCCAAAAAAAAATCCGATTAGGTCAATCAAAGCGTTTTGTTTCAATGTTAATACTTATATTTTAACCATTTTTGGTATAAATTACTTAAAATTTCAAAATGAAATGTCATTTCAAACCAAAAAATTGTTTCCAAAATATTGAAATGTGATATTTCAGTGTTTGAAGCTTTTCAAACATTGTTTCCAGCTGGGAGATTTTTCAAAACCAACCCTTTCCCACTAACAGTTTTGGTTTCAACAAATCAACATTTTCTGACAAAGTAAGTGTCATTGGAAAATTCCCAACCAGCTTTTTAGTTAAATTTCACTCAGTAGTTTGAAAAGCTACTGATTGCATACATAGGTTGTACAAGTGATTATTTGTTTGTTTATTTTTACAGAGGTAAGAGCTAGAAAAGATCTATTAGGTTATCCATATGCCAATACCCAACTGTTTGCTACAATACAGCTTCTAGTGCTTTAGGTGGGGTAGGGAGAGATTTTTGAAAGCACCTCAGGGATTTAGGAGCACAAGTTCCATTAACTTTCAATGGGAGTTACGCTACTAAATACCTTAGGAGCATTCTCTCTCAAAACATCTTCAATCCCCACTTCTGATGACCCATTAAGGGAGGTGTAATGCAGAAGATAATCACATTTGGGATAGATATTCTCCCCACCCCAGTAGCTTAAGGTTTGCATCTGTTGTGGTTTGTCTCTCTTCTAAGTCCTGCAAGGAACCAAGGTTGGAGGAAGAAGAGCAATTAGAGGGTAAAGGAGGCGCTTATCTGTGGTGGCAGCCAAAAAGGAGAAAGGAGACATTTCCCAGAGTGTACATCGGAGGCAGCCAAGTTACAAAGAAGAGGCTCTGAAATAAAATACTTAGATGCAAATTTTGTAAAGGCTTCATGTAGTTTTGTACAACAGAAACAGCAGTGGAGAAATTTCTGACATATTACCAAATGTAGTAAAATCCATGTCTTCCAAATTTTCCAAAATATTTTCTACTGAAGCAGTAAACCTCTTAAAAGTTGAAGAATCCATCATTTCTGGTGAAAAAGAAAAGTATATATAGTTGAGTTATATACAACAGACAACATAACCCGAAGAAAACAACAAATTCAACCTTCCGAAAAGTTACCTTCAGGTGTTAGTTTAGGTTCATAAGCCTTCCTTTTCTTTTGTTTTTCTTTTTTCTTCATTTTCCTAGCCACTAGTAAACAAATTCAGAGTTTAAAATGAAGATATCTGAAACAAATGCCTTTGTTCAGTTTCGTAAAATATTCTGTTGAAGTTGGATACATGAATATTAAAAGCCATGAACAACATTCTTTAGACTAGCCTATCCACATTTAATATGCTTATATTAAGAATGCATGGAAGGGTCATATTAATTATATAGAGTAAGATGTACTTTAATACTTATGAATTACCATCACTGAGGGGAGGAGGAGGAGAATAATCATCCATGTCAGAGTCTTCTGGAGTACGATTGCGATAACGGCTACTACCAGAAGTCCTTCTTCCTTCGTGATGACTGCTTCTCCTATGATCACCAGAACTTCTCTTATCATGCTCTTCATACTCCCAAGCTTTATCATCATCTCTGTCCTTTTTATGTCTTTTCCGAGACGCTAAAAATGAAGCAAGTTTTCATTAGATAAACTGAAATCAGAATGATTTACAAGTTTAAGCAAATTTGTGTACTATTGTTACATTAAGCCAGTGTGCATTATAAACCTATAACATTAAAAACCCAGCCATGTCATTATCCTAATAATATTTTTTGAAGAACATATAAAGTCCATGCCTGAAACAGGAAGAGAAGCCTGTTAAATTCTTAAAATACTTACTCAGAATGCCTGCCCTTTTAAATAGAATAAGGGAGGGAAAGTTGTAGGGTAAGTTTTTCATAAGTGTGACTTGGGCTCCCAAGTTTCATTTTTATTAGGCATCTAGAACCCCAACTCTCATGGACTTTCAATGAGACTTGAGGCTCTCAATACCTACATCACTTTTGAAAATGGGATTTAGGAGTTTAAGTCTGTTAAAAGCCCATATTTTTAAAGGTATTTAGGTATTGTAATGCCTAACTGATTTAGAGGCCTAAATCTCATTTCAAAAGGGATTTAGACACCTAGGAAACCAGTGCTGTTCCTGGACAAAGGGCTAAACAGTGAGGTGGCAAAATGTGTATATTATACAAAATTACTCAAGATAGTTAAGTCCAAAGCAGACTGTGAAGAGTTACAAAGGGATCTCACAATACTGGGTGACTGGGCAACAAAATGGCGGATGAAATTCAATGTCGATAAATGCAAAGTAATGCACATTGAAAAACATAATCCCAATTATACATACAAAAGGGTAGGGACTAAATTAGCTGTTACCACTCAAGGAGGAGATCTTGGAGTCATCGTGGACAGTTCTCTGAAAACATCTGCTCAAGGTGCAGCGGCAGTCAAAAAAGCTAACAGAATGTTAGGAACCATTAGGAAAGGAATAGATAAGAAGACAGAAAATATCATAATCCCACTATATAAAATCTAGGTTATGCCCACACCTTGAATACTGCGTGCAGTTATGGTTGCTTTGTCTCAAAAAAGATATATTAGAATTGGAAAAGGTACAGAGAAGGGCAACAAAATGATTATGGGTATGGAACAGAGGAGCGACTAAAAACATTTGGACTGTTCAGTTTAGAAAAGAGATGACTAAGGCAGGATATTTTACAGGTCTGTAAAAACATGACCAATGTGGAGAAAGTGCACTTATTTACCCCTTCACATAACACACGAACCAGGGAGTTACCTGATGAAATTAATAGGCATCAGATTTAAAACAAACATAAAGAAGCACTACTTCACAGAATGCACAGTGCACATGTGGAACTCATTGCCAGGGGTTGTTGTGAAGGCCAAAAGTATAACTGGGTTAAAAAAAAATTAGGTAAGTTCATGGAAGATAGGTCTATCAATGGCTATTAGCCAAGATGGTCAGGGATGCCACCCCATACTCTGGGTGTCCCCAAACCTCTCATTGCCAGAAGCTGGGACTGGATGACAGAGGATGGATCACTCTATGATTGCCTGTTCTGTTCATTCCCTCTGAAGCATTTGGCACTGGCCACTGTCAGAAGACAGGATACTGGGCAAGATGAACAATTGGTCTAGTCCAGTATGGCCATTCTTCTATTTTTATGTTGTTAAATCCCATCACTGTCGAGCACAGCAGTGCCTAAATACCTTTAAAAAACTGGGTCTTAGGATTTTTTAAATTTTAATTGTGATACATTACACAAAACTCAATGTTCTGAAGGTGAGTAGCTAAAAGAAGGAAGCTAGAACCAGAACCCCAGAATGAGACTGTGGCTGAAACCATAGACAGTAACGGTAGCCAGCAGAACTGACAATAGGACAAATATCCCACAGGCTAATCAAGCTCTGGTAGAAATCCAAACAGCTGAATAGTGATTAATTCCAAGCGAGATTGGTGCACTTATGAAACTGATAAAAATGGTTGAGAATGTGTGTGGCAGTGTTGGAAAGCTAGCAAAGCAATTGCCCATGAAACTACTTGGAGCCAAGGAAAGCAATCTGGGGTGCTTGGAAGTTGGGAGAAATACTGGAAGGGAAATAAGTGCTTGGGGAACTGTCCAGGCTCTGTCACCTCTTAAAGGAATGACACTGTATAAACCTGAACTGCTGATTTAAAAAACAAAAACAAAAAGCCACCACCTTTTCAAAAGGCGCCAAACCTTTTGTGTCCTGTGGCACCTTTAAGACTAACAGATGTATTGGAGCATAAGCTTTCGTTTGGGATCTGAAAACCAGGAAAGCTCCTCCCTGGAATGTGCATCATCACTAGTAATAAAAGTTCTTCAGGCCATCTAGTCCAGCATTCTGTCTCTTATGGGGATAATATCAGTAGAGCTGGTTGGAAATCAGAATTTTTGGTTTGTGGGAAGTATTGACATTTCAAAATTTGTTTTCATCGCAAAGTAGAACAAAATTTCTTTATGAAAATGATGATTCTGAAATTGTTTCTTTTCCTATTTTTATTTTCACATTTCATAACAAATCAGTAATAATAATAATAATAATAATATGCCCTATGACTGATGTCATATGAAAATAATATACTTTCAATTTTATTGTTTTAAAACCATGGAGGGTAGCCACAACTTGGTATTGACAAACATTCTATCTTCTTTTCTAGATTAATAGTATTAAGTTGCAGCTCCCCTTAAGACTTTTAGTACAATAAAACAAAAATAGAATATTTCAACTGTGTCACTATGTCATGTCAGTAGGAGTAGTGTATATTATGCACCCCCACTACTGGCATGATAATATATAAAAATAATAAAAGTGTAAATATGAAAAACAAAACTATAAATGTTCAAAACAAAACTATTCTCCAAAATAAAAAAAATCTGAAATGAAACTGTTGAAAAAACATTTAGACAAAAAATGTCCCACCAGTTTTAAAGTACCAGATACTTCTGAATAAGATGTAAAGACCATGCGAGTAGGCATAAGTGGGATAATCTGACCCCATATTAGGTCTCATCCTGATCTCTAAGAGGTAAAGCTTGATGTAAGCCATGAAATAGGTTTAATATCCCTTCCAAAATTGTTTATCCAGAATTATAATTTTCTTGATATCCACATAAATACCCAATGCACTTTTTCAATCTTGTTAAGTTCTTGGCCTCAACAACTTCCCATCGCAATGAGTTCCACAGTTAAATCCAAGTTGTGTGAAAAAATATTTTCTTTTATCCTTTTTGAATTTCCCACCTTTTAATTTAATTGAATGTTCCCTCTGTTCTTGTGTTAGGCGAAAAGAAAAAATTTCTCAGTCTACCTTCTCATTACGATTCATTACTTTATATACTTTTCTCATGTCCTCACTTATTCATCTCCATGCTAAGGGAACAATTCCAATTCACTCCCTCTCTTCATACCAAAGTTTTTTCATGCTTTTGATCATTCTTTTCACTCTTCTCTGAACCCCCTCTAATTCTGCAATATCATTTCTGAAATGGCATGACCAGTACCATTCACAGTACTCCAGATGAGGCTGCACCATTGATGTATAAAGGCATTACAAGAATATTTGTATTATTCACCATTCTATTCTTTGTGCATCTTAACAGCTTTTTTGACTGGAGCTGCACACTGAGTAAAGATCTTCACTTAAGTTTCTACAATGTCACCCTGGCCCTTTCTTGAGTAGACAATTCATTTTGAACCCTGTAAGGTGTATGCGTTGTTTAAATTTTTCCTTGCAATGTGATTACTTTGTATTTATCAACATTCAATTACATTTGCCACTATGTTGCCCATTTACATGACTTTTTTAGGTCTTTCTGGATTTCCTCATAGTCTTTTCTGATCTGGACAAACATAAGTAACTTTGCATCACCTGTAAATTTTGCTACCTCACTACAGCCCTCCATCCCCCCTCCCTCCTTTCCAGAATATATTAAACAACACAGAACCCAATATGGAATCTTAAGGCAACCCTCTGTTAAACTTTTGCCATGATGAAGATTAACAGCCGGGTGCCTCAAGATTCTGTACATCATGGTCACAACAGCAGCCATTGGTGTCTTTAAAAAAAAGGTAGTGTACTCCTCTTTGGGTTTCCATCTGAATGTGGTGAGATTTCTTTATTAGAGTAGGTGACAGAATTGTCTGTGGTCTCAGATCCATGGGAGCTCCGTATCAGATTATAATACATGATTCTGATGACCATCTTGCCTCTCCTCCCCCCAAGTCACTTCCATTCAGACTGATGTCAAAGGTTATCTCAAGAGCTGTTAGAACTAGAAGTAATTTTGATTTGTCCAAGCAATAATACCCTCCACCCCCCAAGGATGAGGCAGTCCAAGAAGGGCTGTGCCTGAGAAACTCACTGGGCACAAGGAGCCCAAGAGTCTCTATTTTTTTGTTTTCTTGTGTTTCCAGTTAGGAAAAGTGACAGATCATTTTCTTTTTTGAGGCTTAAAAAAATTCCTAAGGCCACATTACAGCAAGAGTTGCTTGCTATGCTGAATTCCAGACCTCTGACTGATCTAGCCCCTGTATGCAGTGAAATCTATTAGTATGCCTCCAGTGCTCCAGGGAGAAGGGGAAGATTCCCCAGTTCAGTTTGTCAGACATGGAGGAGACATGAGAATTTACAAAACTAGTTTTTAAGATAGTACATAGCATTATGCTGCAGCACTAGGAGTTTGAGATCCCTGACTGCAAAAAATCACACTAGAACTGAAGTATGGGTGAAGTAAGATGATAAATATTCAATTTTAAAGTGTGGGTAGTCACCAAATTCATTCAAAAAATTTTCCCAACATTTTCATATAGAATATTATCCATGTAAAACTTCTCGGGTCTTTTTTAATGGTCTTTTCTTTAACCTGAATCTAAAAGTGTCCTGCAGCACAAGTGAAAAAGTCTACGAGATATCCTGCCATACATGTAGGATTGGGGAGGGAATTCTAACAAGCTACCTATTCATCTTGAGTGGTAAACTTAGGTTTAGTAATTTTTCCTAAAAATAAGTTGCTCAGTCAACAAGTTATCTAGTCAGCTCAGAAATCTGTTAGCAAGAGCAAAGAGTTATCCTGCTGTTTAATAATATTAATAGAATGATGTACTACTTACATTCAAAAGCTTCTTCACTTTCATTGTCTTCATCAGAACTGATCTCAGCATATTTTGGTTTCTCATTAACTGTGCTACGTTTGCGCTTGTTCATTTTCACACGTTCACAAAGTGGCATGGTGGATTCAATTTCTGCCAGGAGCTCAGGAGGCAACTCCTTTAACACTGACTGATCTATGCTACCTATTAATGAAGAGTAAGAAGAGTAAATGTGAATCTGAAGATAACAGTAAGGGCCCAAAGCTGTAGTCCTTTCTCAGGACTAATTCTAATAGAGCACCCACTAAATATCTCACAGTTAGATATTCTTCAAAGTAACTGATGTCACAAAGTCCTCTGTCCAAAGTTTTAGATTTTGTCAACTTTACAATTAAAATCATCATACTGCATCTCTTACGAATCTACATTTAAAAAATGTTTACCAGCATAGACATGATACAAATTCAACCAGCGACCTTCACGTACACTTCCCTTACTCCCACAAAACAGGGTCTTACTTCAGTTGGTTCTCCAAAGTTGCACAAGTATTTAAAAAAAATTAGGCTAACTCAGGATTCAATATGCATCCTGGTCACATTTCTACTTATTCTACAACATCTCCAGTGCACATAAGAGGATTACTTTGCAATATCAGCAGGTGGAGACAAAAGCAATCAGAATTTACAAGGTTGATAACCTTAAAATAAGGCCAGATGACTAGCACACCTCAATTGTTTCCTATGTGGAAATACAACTTTTTTGTGGCTGTTACAGAGTTCATTTTTGTTGCTCTTTTCTTAAGCTTATCACAAACACTTAAAAAAATTAAAGCGATTGATTAGGTATCAAATAAAAAGAAACAGCAAATAGGAGTACACTATTTTTTAATAATATTCCTTACAGTACCAGAAAGATTATGTAGCATCACATTGCTGTCATCACACATTTTGGTAGTGTTGTTAGGCCTATACAAAGCCAGGACCTCTTAAAGACAATCCTCTATAGGGAGGGTGTCACACGTATTTCTTAGCAATCAGCCAGGGAAACCAAATTAGTTCAAAGACCAAGTGTTATGCTTCAGCACTGGTTCCAATGTCCCAATCCTGCGTAGACTTATACAGGTGCATATATTTATGCACTGAATAGCTTCACTGAAGTTAATGAGACTACTCATAGTGCAAAAAGCATGTGCATAAGTCTTTAGAGAATTGTGACCTAAATAAAGGCATGACGAAAAGCAACTATGAAAGGAAGACAAGGAGTGGCACGGGAGAAGAAGAACATGTTTCTGCAACTCAGTTTTTAGTGTTTTCTTTCTTGTTGCATTCAACAGGATATGGTCTGCTCTGTACAAATCATCTCTCGCCAAATTCTCTTAAGAAGAGTAGAGGTTATTATATATACAGAGCCTCATTTGTTCAGGTTCATATAGAAACACCTGGAAAATCCAAGTTTATGCATAAGAAATGAGCCATATGGTAACAAGTATTAGTCTATAAAACAGATGCTAATGATTTTGCTCTGCTTCAAATTTACAAGTTACTTATAAAAACTTAAAAGGGGACACAACTTAACTGTCAAATAGAAATGTGATTTTTATTTCCTAAAATATTTAAGAATAAAACGTTGAGGAAAATTTGTTTTCAATGTATTTAGTTTTTGCATTTGTTAGGATTTAGTGTATAGTTAGTTTTAGTGTTAGCACACTGCACAGTCAGTCACTTTTTCCTCTAGTTTGTGTGCCTTTTTGAATAGTTGTATGGGAGGGGAAAACATTTTGCAGTTTTCTTTAGAAAAGGTTTTTAAAACCACAAAATTTGGCAGGAGGCAACAGGGGCAGGTGAACTACCTGAAATTCCATTTAAGTTTGGAAACTGACTAGGATACGTTGATGAAGTGCCTTCAAGATATTAGCTACCATGCATGTTAATTCTTTTTTATATTTGTACACTACAATATAGTTGTAACAATCAAAAATAATCATAATGAAATGTCAATTTTACCAAGGCACTTTATACTTAATACTTGGGAATCTTCCCAAGTATTACTTTAATACTTTTAAAATATAAAGACATTTTATGTATATGTATTTTACTGTACAGCATTGTAAACAACAAAAATTCTGAACATTGATATGTTGTCAGATACAATCCATTACTTTTCACACTTACCAAAAATTAAAACACCGGTGTACTCTTTAGAACAATTTACTACAGGACCTCTGTAAAGTCCTAACTACATCATAATCACTCACACTGGTGAACCCTGTGAGAACATGGTTGCCCCAAACATGGTTAAAGCGTAGTTCAACTTTACAGTACAAACAGGATGTGTGTTGTAACCTTCTAAAGCATTGGCAGATCCAAATATAATATTTCCTAGTTAAAATAACATTTCTGTGATCCACAATTAAATAATACTGTAATGAGGAATACTAGAAAAGTATGGGGGGAGGTTGGCATACAAGATATGTACTTTTTCTGAAAAAGTGCTCTAAAACAGATTCAGTCTGAGGGTTCAAATGTATATTAAAAGCTTTGACAGTTAATATTAAAAAAATTCTTTAAAAATATATTCACACAAGTAACCTAACAGACAAGTCCCAGAGTTCAGTGACCAAAAAAGACATCCTGTTACGCTTTTCCAGAATAACTTTTCCCTAAAATTCCTAGATTCACATAAACAATTTCAGTCTGTATCTGTAATTACAAAAAACACCTTTAATTTTAATTAAAAATACTTTCTCCTACCTAGTTGATCATCTAAATTAATAATACAAATTATCAGTGGATTTTATTCTGAGAAATGTCATGGTATTTGCATTTATTTTACAACTTGAAAAAAATACAAGTAACTTGATTCCCTCACCTTCCTTTATTTACACTATTCAATAATATGATCAGAAGTCTTTCATGGTATAGCATTTTGTCTGTTGGAATCTTTATTTTACTACATAAGGCTCCATAAGGGTGGTGTAAAGATTAACAAACTATCAAGGAGAATGGATTCTCTATCTTTGAATGCCTTCAAATAAAGATTTACTAAAAAGATATTTTAGTCAATCACAAGTTAACAGGCTCAATACAGGCATACCTGGATGAAATTCTCTAGCCTGAGATACACAAGTTATCAGACTAGATGGTCTACTGTCCCTTCTAGTCTTAACATCTATAATAAGTAGATATGAGAAAGGATTAAGAGAATGTGCCATTGCTTGTACTCTGTTCCATAGATTCGAATTCCAGCATTTATTGACATGCACTCCAGCTGCCTTCACTATGTTAGATGTAGCTGTACTGAATGGATAAGGGATTAGTAGAAGCAGCCTGGCTACAATCTGAAGAGAAACACATATGGACTTTGAGGGATCAAGTACGCCTCATTTGAGCACTGAATTTTGTAGGCTGTGTCAGTGGAAGTGCATAAGGGTGTCTTCTTGCCATGGGGATTATCAGCAGTCTGGTGACAGTGGTTTCCAGGGTTTAGTGACAGGAAAATAAAGGCACTGTCTCAGAAGAAATCCTCAGCACAAAGGTGAAGAGGTGATAATATTTAGTGAGTCTGGTGTTATTTGCGTGCAGTAAGGTTAGTGTTTGAATGTAGGCCAGGTGCAGGTAGCTCCAGTTTACTATATCTGACATAAACCCGAATTTTGCCTTAGCAGACAGAAGGTGTTAGACTTTGTCCTTCAGTGCACACGTGTTTCGTTTGCAATGTGTTCTGTAGCATCTGTGAGGACAATGTGTTGGGGTATCGCTTAAAGAGGACAAAATTAAAGTTGCATTGTGGGGCTGATGTGAATCTTAAATCTTCATTTCCCGGTTTTCAAAGGTTTAAGTTTAGTCACTCTCCACAATGCTCTACTGTGCAACTTTAACTCTATGTTAATAAAGTTTTAAGGCATTTAATTTCCTTTTAAAAAAAAATATATAGTTTCTCAGTATTTGCATATAACACAACCCATCTCCCCCACTCTACTGCCTCTGGCTCCTTGCCACTGATTATTCTAGGCACAGAATGTAGTGTAGTGGTTGCATGTTGGTCCTTCCACTATCATTGCATCATCTCATTAGCTCGCCTTCTGCCTGTCCAGCACTGATTCTCCCTCCTCAGTCCTTCTGCCCATGGAGAAGCTGGCATCAGCCTGGGACCTGCATGTTAAGGAGCTGGGGTAAGGATACAGAAACAGTCCAGGGACTTGCATGGAGTCAGTGGAGACATTTTTGAAGGGGGACAGACATGGGATCACATCAGAGGAAGGACTGTCCTGTGGTTAGGACACTAACCTGGCACATGGGAGGATCTGGGTACAATTCCTGGACTTTGGGCAAGGCACTTAGGTTTTGTCTACAAAGGAAGTTATAGAGATCATAATATCGCCATAACGTTCTTTGTGGATGTTTATTTCTCAATAAGAGTGGCTTATTTCTTTCTTTCTTATTTCTTAAATCATTTTCAAAGCAACAACCTAAACTGGAGAAAGGCACTCTTGACACCAGAAGAAGTGTGTCTACACAGGGAGATATGCTGGTAACTATAGCAGTACAAAGTCACACCTCAACTAATAGCGATACTGCTTCCCATGTAGACAAGACATTTGTTTCTGTCTCAGTTCTTCATCTGTAATATGGGAACAATAGCTTTTTGAAGATAAATACATTGAAGACTTTGAGGTGCTCGGATATTACAGTGATGGGGGGCAGATTAGTGCCTGTGATTGATGGATGTGGGTTCCTGGAGAGGAACAGAGCTGAAGCCACCTCAACATCCCCCACTGCACAGCTCTGATTCCCTACTTTCCACCCCACTCTTCCCTGCACTGTTCCAACACTCCCCCTCATTGCTCTGACCTCCCATAATCCCCCCAACAGCTCAGACTACCCTACCACAGCTTGGATGCTGCTCCCCTCCTCCAACATTACCTCCCTCATGCCTAATACCAAATGACTAAAATCAGTTGGGGGATGATTAGAGTCATAGTTTTAGCCCCCGGTATGTGCAAAAAAAGTTAGAACCACTAGGTGATTTTGTAAAATGTTGGGTTTGTTTAGGGGACTGTATCTTGGAAAGCCCTTGCTCAACTGACCCTAAACTTAGACCAATAACTCTATCCCACACCCCAATAGGATATGGCAAATTTCAAGGCAATCTGGATAAAGACGAAGATTTTAGAGTATTTAGAATAGCAGGCCTTTAACTAGAAA